GACCTACTGCGCCAAAAAACTGCGTTCATAGATACAAAAAGGGTCCGATTTTCACTGAGTCATTTACAAGCTTGGGTTGACAGGGGAATGGGAACACGAAGCAGCCGCCAGTCTGCTAACGATCTTCACACGAACAAACAAGTTATTCTCATAATAAATTCCTTCTACCATGACTCACCACCACATCTTTATGCATCTAATAACCCTCGTCACCCACCAGTATACGACATCTCTCCACTGCCCCATCTCCGCCACCCTTCTCTCCCACCCTGTCACTACCCATCCTCCACCCCTCCGGCTGGCGGCTACCCACTCTCCCGGTCTCCTCCCCAGCTCTGCCGACATCTCACCCTGTCCAGGAAGGTCATGTTCTGCACACATCCTGTGAAGCCTCCCCAGCCGGGCACGCGGTCCCAGGAGGTCATCACCGCGGCCACCTGGTCCAGCGGTACGGCCGAGCCTCCCAGCTGCAGCGGCGTGTCCACGTTCAGGAAGGAGTTCTTCTGTCCGTCGGGGCCGGCCGGTGCGGCCGCCGAGGCCTGGCACTCGGACGAGCCGACGCAGCTGTCTATGAGAACTACCATCGTCTGTCGGGAGAGTGGACTGGTTAGTACCGGCATAATGTTCAGATACCTGTGAAAAGGCAAAACTAATAGCTCGGATGTCGGTAAGGCCGTATCTGACAGGGTGAGGTGTGCTATTGAAGCGAATGGTTTTGCAGCAAAACGCATACATCGGTGGAGGTGATGCAGTTGCCTCTACAACGTCATGGTTCATGGAAGCTGGAACCAAAACAAAATATTACACAAAAAGTGAGAGATCTTGTTTTCTTATGCTTGTCTATATGCTCAAATTCATCTCATCTTCATCTTCATCTTCATCTTCGTGTTATCGGGGCAAGAGGCACGATGTCCTGTAGGGCCCGTTCTCGCCGATTTCCATAACTTCACTTAGTACTCAGTCTGTTACAGGAGTGGAGTACCAGATCGACTCCCAGTGTGCATCCAGCCTGTTCTTAAAGACGTTGACTGAGGGCGAATGTACAATTTCTGCTGGAAGCCCGTTCCAATCGTTAATACACCGCACAGAAAATGAATTCAGTCTGGCACGGCAGGTTGCACGAGGCTTCCGTAGTTTAAGTGTGTGACCCCGAGTTCGCCTTTCAGGATTCGTTGCCAGAAGCTCTGAAGGATCAGTATCAACGTGGCCGTGCAGCATCTTGTATGCGTGAATCATATCCATGCGTCTACGCCGATAGTACAGTGACGGGAGCTTCAGTCTCTTCAGCCTTTCAGGATATGGAAGGTGGCGGATGCTCACCACTAACCGGGTGGCTCTTCTTTGAACCCTTTCGACTGCCTTCTGATCAGCTCTATTGAACGGACCCCAAACAAGACTGCTGAACTCCAGGTGAGGCCGCACGAGAGATTTGAACAGAAGAGGCAGGGTAAATTCATCTAAAAAGGCGAAGGACCGGCGGATGACCGCAAGAACTTGAGACGCTTTGAAGACCGCCGTAGACGCTTGCTGTCGAAACTTCAAGATTGAGTCGACCTGCACACCCAGGTCTCTCTCGACTGACGTGTTTGTCAGTCTGTCCGACCCCATTTGAAATGAGTGGTGGTCCTTGGCTGCACCAACATGAAGCACTTTGCACTTATTCTCGTTAAATGGCAGCTGCCAAGTTCTAGACCATTCCACGAGGGCGTTCAGGTCTGCCTGCAATGTCCGCACATCATGTTCAGAAGAGATGCCTGAGAACAGCTTTGTGTCATCTGCGAACATTCGCACATTTGAAGTGACAGCATCTGGCAAGTCATTGACATAGAGCAAGAAGAGCAATGGGCCCAACACTGAGCCTTGGGGCACACCACTGCGCACAGGGACCAAGTCTGACAGGTTTCCATATAGGGACACTTGCTGCATTCTGTCTTCCAGGAATGATTCAATCCAAGACAACACTCGGTCACCAATACCATAACAGCGCAGCTTGCCTATCAGTCTCTTGTGTGGGACGGAGTCGAACGCCTTTCGGAAGTCAAGGTAAATCACTTCGACCTCCGTCTTGTCCTCCAACAGGCGGCTCCATGAGTCTATAGAGTCAAGCAGTTGCGTATCACAAGATCGCTTCGGGCGGAAGCCATGTTGGTCCTTGGACAGCAGGTCATTTGACAGCAAATGGTCCATTAAACAATCACGAATGAGCGACTCGAGAATCTTACAGGGAACAGATGTGAGGCTGACAGGTCTATAGTTTCTTGGGTCTTCCTTTTCACCTTTCTTAAAGATTGGTATGACTTTACCGTGCTTCCAGTCTGCAGGAATAGACCCAGTTTCAAGCGATTTTCGGAACAGTAATGTCAAGGGAAGGGAGAGAGGACCACTCAACTCCCTTAAAACGCGGGGGTGAATGTCATCAGCTCCGGGGGCACTATTGGGGTTCAGTGCTTTAAGCTTTTGCTTCACTGTGAAAAGGTTGACTGGTATATCGATCAGCGGCGGCCCTGTGTAACGGTTTGCTAGTTGTGGCACGACATCCGTTTTTTCAATAGTGAATGCGCCTGAGAAGACGTCATTCAGGAGCGAGGCCTTCTCTTTTTCCTCGCTAACAAGCTGGCCCTGGTCATTTCTTAGATCACCAATACTTGATTTAACTTTACGGCGGCTGTTCACATATTTCCAAAAAGCCTTCGGGTTTTCTTTCATGTTTGCTGATATCTTAGCTTCAAAATCTTTCCTTAACTGGCGAGTCAATGTCCTAAGCTTATTTCTGCAAATCTTATATCTGCTATAGTCGATGGGGTCTTGCGTTCTCATGTACACTGACCACAGTACCTTCTTCTTCTTCTTGAGGTTTAGTGAACGGCTATTCATGTAAACGTTCTTTTTAGACTTGACGTTTCTTGCTTTGGGTATGCACTCACTCATCAGCGATTCAAGTTTGCTCCTAAACCACTTGTAGCCCGCGTCTACACTCATGGTTGACAAACAGCTCCAGTCAACTGCATGTAGTTTTACACGCAAGGCCGTGAAGTCAGCGCGGTGAAAATTCCATTTCAAGCCGGCAGAAGAACATTTTTTGTTGTAACAGGCAATATCGCATTTCAGTAGCACATGATCACTCCTTCCTAATCCAGGACAATATTTGATCTTTGTTATCATATTCTCATCATTTGTAAACACCAAATCCAGTATACTAGGCCTACAACCCTCTCTAAATCTGGTAGGCTTGGTGACATGCTGGAACAGGAATGCATCCTGAACGGCAGACAAAAACTTGTTGGCAAAATGTGCTTCAGATGCGCTGCAAAAGTTGTTTTCCCAGTCAATCTGAGGAATGTTAAAATCCCCAACAATGAGCAGGTGAGTGTGCTTGAGAGAAATCGCATTTTGGAGTAAGCAAGACAAATCATCAACACTTCGATGGGGGTCGCCTGAGGGGCTGCGATAAATGCATCCGGCAAGTAGCACGTCATTGTTTTCCAAGCACAATTGTACCCAAAGTTGCTCTTTAAATCTTGAATCTGGAAAATGTACGTTGGAAACTTTCAGTCGATGATGAATATAGATGCATATGCCTCGAATGCCAAGGTAATTGGTATCATCAAAGTTGGTGTGCACTTCATAACCAGGCACAGAGAACAAGACAAGGGGCACTGACGACATCCGCACCTTCGGTAGCGCTTCAGTGATGAAAATGATATCGGGATCTTCACCACAAATAGTCATGCACAAATCATCCCTCTTGTTCAACAATTGGTCCGCATTTGTGTACCAAATACGTAGGCACCGAGTGCCCTCAGAGGCATTCTTCACGGGCAGTCACGCTTGCTGAGGTTCTGGAGGACAGCCATCAGACACCGTAACATCCAAAGATAACACACGGGAGGTATCGTTACGTGCTGATGCATCAGCTGGAACCAAGTCATGGGTTGCAGCCGACGACCGGACGACTGGCAAGGTAATGGATCTGGCACTGTCCCTTGCACTATCGAACCTCCGACCGGCTTGGGCATGTGAAACTGGCCTGTTATTGGAAATGATTCTCCCGTTGCGGATTACAAGGCTTTGTTCACCGGCTGCCCTGCGAGAGCGGAGCTCATCTCTCAACTTCCTAGAAGCCTCGCGCTCCACCTTAGTTTGGTCGGGGGAGAGGTATATGTTTCCCCATCGCACTGAATGGCGGAGCTGCGGGGCCATTTTCAGCAGTTCGTGCTTTATGTCCTCGTTCTCCAGCGTTACCACGAGCAGTCTGGGTTTGTCAGGGTTAGCCTTGCCGACCCGAAAGGATCTGGCCACGCTAACTCGTAGTCGAAAGGTTTCCTTGACCATCTCCAAAAATTGGTTGATGTCTTCCTGGGATCTCTGCTCCAAAGTTCCAGCCCTCGGCTCCGGGAGGTTGTGCAGGATGATGTTCTTTTTTCGCTTGTCTTTGTCGAAAAAATCGTCAACGACTTTGGCTATACTTGGGACGTCGTTTGGAGGTGTGGCAGAGAGTGGCAAGGCTGACAGCTTAGCGGACACTTCACTAATAACTTCGGAGCACGAACCTCTCACTATTTCGGCATAGGTACTTTCCTGTGACTTTTTCTCGCTTATGCATCCTTCAATCAGCTTCATTCGATCACCTGCGGCTTTTTCTTGTTGTTTTAGGATAGCAGTGTTTTCCAGAATAGCCTGGTGCATTTCCTTCATCTGGCTCTCTACACTCGAGAATTGCGCATCCATCTTCTTTTCAATTGACACTTTTCCCTGCACAAGATTGCGGAAATCCTGCACATGATCTTCACATTCCTCGCACAGCCAAAGGAGACCAAATCGAGTAATCGCTTTGTACGCCTCCTCCTCCAGGCCCTGGCAAGCTGGATGGTACCAGGTCATGCATATTTGGCATCTGATTGAACCAAAAACGTCGTTCGAAACCGATTTTCCGCAAGGCTTACCCTCGGATCCATTACAAATAACATTGCCCGTGACCTTTGGCACGCTTTTACTAGAGGGCAAGGCACCGGCTTTTTTGCCCTTTCTGTTCCTCTTACGCTTGTTCGCAACAACCCACTCTTCAAAGAATGGATCAAATCCTTCAATGAGTGAGGATGTCTCAGAATCTTCGCCAACAGAGTCGCTCATATTCAGCTAATGGTATCTTGAAAAACGAACAACTACTCTATTTAGCTGCACGAGCCTTCCTACGAAAATCAAGGGCACTTTGCCCTACTTTTACTGAGTTTTTTTTAAACAAAGACTAGAAAAAATCAACTTTTAGATGTAAGAATAAAGACTCATCTTATACTTATATGACACAAAAGTATGTTCCATAGCATCTACGTTAAATTAGGAACATGTCAATATATAATACATTAATGAAAACAAGCTATTATCGGCTAAAATCCAAGTTTTCTAGAGCACAGCAAAACACGTCTGCACACTTCAAGAATTCATGTATACCATCGTGATCAATTCATCACAGAAAACATGTATTTTCCACCACCTCAGCAAGCCTCAGTTTCTACCTCCCTCCCATAGATGACACCATCACCAGCACCAGCGGCCCATATTTACCTCCGGGTCCCAGGTGATGTCTATATGGTGTTTGTGGTTATCGCTGATCTTGAGCGCCGGACTGGCCACCGCCGTACCCGTGCCGTAGTTCATGAACACGCGCAGACGGCCCTCCATCACATCCACGGCGAAAAAGTCTGCCGGGAAAAATGGGTTAATGACTGTCAGACGGAACAATCAAGGGAACATACCCATTGTTGTGGTTGCAATTAACATATCATGCTGTGATCAACAATTCAAATCACGCGTTGCTCCGATGTGCGTCGGGTTGGTGCAAACCTTAGCCCCTTAGGCAGATCATAAATTGCACTGCGCACGGTCTTACTAACCCAGCACCATATCCCTAACTACGCCCAATCCCACTGACTTTCCGCACCAATACTTCTTTCTGTGTCGCATTTCTGCTGACATAGCACCAGAACCCCTCACCGCGCCCCAATTTCCACTGACCCAGCACCATATCCCCTCACCGCGCCCCATTTCCACTGACCCTGCACCAGGTGCGACGGCTCCGAAATGGGTCCGTTGTACATGACCAGCGCCTCCTCCGAGACGGTCGTCAGGTCAAAGCTCAGGTGGGAGGCGTTGCAGGCCGTCAGCTGCGGGAACCACGCGTACCCGGTGCCCTCGAAGTGGATGGTGTCGCCCTGGCAGTTGGGACCCGGGAAACCGGCCTCGCACTCACACCTGGAGGCGGAGGTCAGGTCACAGCTAGGGTCAGTAAACGTCAGTTTAGCGCCTTATTGACAGCCGAGAAATGGCTAAAGATCGAAAAAGACAAAGAACACGTAAAACTGAAACGATCTTAGTGTACAAGAACTCATACACAATCAACGTTTACAAGACTTAGTTACGACTTAAGATGTAATTTGTACGCTATCACCGCGGACACACTCGCCATGTTACACTGATGTTATTTACAAAGTTTAAAAACTCACTTCTTCTCATCGTCACTCCAGCGGCCATCGTGCAGACAGATTTCGGGCGCCATCTTGGCCTCACACTCGTTACATTTGTACTGCAGCTCCGTCTTCACACCTGCAAACCAATCGTTTGTCAGCACTGGGCTGAAGGGAGGGAACGAACGTCCAAAAAGCCAGAAGGTGCATATAAGGCTGCATACTGCCTTCTCGTTAATGACACAAGTCTGAAGCCACAAGGCTTCTCCTCGTCATTTTAATGAATGAATGCTACCGTAAGGGGAGTAGATCAAAAGAGCGATAAAACTGAACAATTACATGGATTACCTAGAAACAACTGTCTGAATCGCCCTCTATCCGCGCATAGTGCCCTAATCGATGCATCTACAATGACATATGATCATGGGATTTGCGAATATGATGAGCTTCATTTCATCAGACGTAGGCCAACAATAAATATCGCGACTGCGAACCATTATTTACACATGGTACAACTCAGCATATGCCCATAGATACCAGACGATCGGTTGCACAAGGTACAACCGCACTACGTACCGATGATACTCGAGGTGTTGGTCTGCACCCGGTACACCTCGTTGTCGAATATCTTCAGCTCGGCGTGGCAGCTTCCCTCGCACGTGTGTTCGTAGATGCAGTCGTTGATGCCCACCTGTTCGATCTTGATGCCGAACATGGTCTCCAGCTGTCGGAGCGTGGGGAGAACGGGTTAGAGCCCCGCTCAGTAGAGTATATTACACTTTTCTTCAGCATTATTGAATCGAAAACGAATACTATAGCATTTCCAACTACATCTAGTCATCGTAATAAGAGATAGTTAACATCAAGCTATGCTTATTGCCCGCCCCTATCTACCCAATATCAGCTACCCTCGAAGTAATTTCCTATCCTCGCCCTCTACGATTCACCAGATCCCTGCCTTCTAATTCCTAACTCCCAGTTCCCACCCTCTCGCTCTTTCCCTCTCACCATATCTCTATTCTGGGCGACAATGCCGTCCATCTTCTCTGCCTCGTAGTAGGGTGAGCCGTGGGCGGCGTAGCGTACATCCACGCCTCCGTCATCGTTATCCACAACACCAAACAGGTCGACGTTCTCTGGCGCCGTACTGAACAGCCGGGCCAGCTCCGTGATAAGGCGCTCGTGCATTGAGGGTGTCTGGAAAGAGCAAGTTGGAGGAGTGAGTGAAATACAGACACTGGAAGAGAGAATTTGTACGTGCGAGCCAAACTTCAGTACCTACACGGTTTACGAGCCTACCGTACCAATGTAATTGTAAACGAAGTTGACTGATTGCCTGAGCGCAAGCCATCCAAGTTTTGAAGTTAGCCTTTGAAGATGTAGATATAATCTATAAAAAGGCTGAATACGATAGTACTTGTTTACGTCGATTCCATTCAAGGACGAGTAAAATAAAAACTCAATAGTCACTTCGGGGCTATGAATAACTAGATTTTGCATGTTCACAAACATGTCTGGAGACACGTGATCGGTCATAGCCAAGGCCACAACTCCACAGCTTGTACCAGACCATCCCACATTCGGGCATTTGTCGAGTCCTCCCAACTCCGTTAGCCTGCCTTCTCACACCATCTCCTTACATGCTTACCAAGCCGCCTCTCACTTCTTCTACTCAGAACTCACATCCTTATCGGGGCGCGAGACGAACTCAGCAGCGGAGACATCCTTGATCCTCAGTGAACCCGACTGGGTGACGGCCTCACGCGGCAGCAGTCGCACCTCGACCGTCACCAACGCAGAAACGGTGCTCTGGAACTTCTTATCAAACACCTGGCGGCAGACACGCGAACTAATCAACCTTGGGGAAAGAGCGGGGACGGCCGAGGAAACATTACTGAACAGCTGCTATATAAAGACGCAGAGCTCCCGCACAGCGGTAAAAACAAGCAGCCAGACATTAATTAACCGGAGAACTGAAATATTGGAAAGTAATGCGAAATCCGGGAGGCTGGAATCTGAGCAAAACAATACCTTCTACGCCACTTCACTTGATTAAACACGCAGACATTCGACATTCCGCTGAATACAAAGCATCTATCCATGCAGGGTTTGGTCGTCTCAGAGACTCAGACTACCCACCCCAGGTGTTGTGCGATTGTTCACGGGTATTCCCCCACTCTCACCTGGAACTTGAGCGGGTAGCTGCCGTTGGGAGTGCCGTACTTCATGGTGATGTTACCCGTGTCTCTGTCGAGCTCAAAGTGACGGTACTCCTCCCCCTCGAGCCAGGAGAAGGTCTTGTCGGGCAGATCCCAGTCGTCCGGGTCATCCACGTACACCCGGCCCACCACCGTGTCGGGCATCTTACCCTGAGGGGCGGCGGAGACGGGTCAGGTATACCGCGAACAGATACTCTACAGATATTCTACAAATATTGTACGTGTGGGGATGAGCATTTGTAGATTATTTCATGACTGTGTAGATGCTGAATTGTCAAGACAATGGAATCACCAGCGCTCCCTTCAGTCCATCAACAAATTACCTGGCATTTCATTGTAACCTTGCACGTGTAAACGAAATAGTGGTCAATTCTCTCAATGTTAATTTTGCAGGCTCCAATCGAGTTAGCTTACGCGAGAGTGCAAAATGAGCGTTTTGTGATGGTAAAACGGATGTTCATTTAAGCCAAATTAGCCTGTTGACGAAGCCACGGTGACTATAAATAGACGATCCTACAATTAAATGAGAATGAGGTGGGAACTGGGAACATTGGAATATTTCGCCACTCTAATCTCTAAAATCAAATTAATAAGTCATTAATATTAAATTAAGCCATAATAATATCTATAAGCCATAAAATCAATGATAAAGTCACTTTATTCTGTAACTACTGGAATGGTTTCCCTGCGCGGTCAGAGTCGGACAAATCTGTGGTTTCGGCACTGTTGGACCGGGGTGGAGGTTGGGCGGACTGGTGCACTCGAGACCGTCAGAACTGGATGTGGAGTCAGACGGGTCAGAGGGGTCACCATTCCACTGCCGTGAGGGTGGAACTGCACACTGGGGTGACATATATCGAAAGGTCTGCACCGGCAGTGGGACAAACCACTGCCAGTTGAGAGATTCCCGGGGCAACGGGTACGGGCGGTGAACACTGAATAAAACGGACACTCCTGGCAACTCTCCTAGACAAGCAGAGCATGGGATGGCGCTGCTATGGACTATGGGGAGAGGATGAGCGCTACTCCGGAGAGAGGCAGGAGGGCGCTTCTTTAGAGCGAGGTAGAGCGTGTGGTGGGGCTACCGCTACGCTATGGAAAGACCTAGATCGTGGGATGAAGTTCCTCCGAGAAAGGTAGAGGTTGGGATAGAGCCACTCTCGGGCGAGGTAGGGGTGGACAGCGCTACTCCAGGGTAGAGGATATAATGGCGCTACTCTGTTACACAGGGTGGGATAGCGCTACTCCGGGAAAGATCATGAGGTAGTGCTACTCCTTAGCAGAGGATGGGATATCGCTACTCTGTTGCAGAGGGTGGCGAACCGCTACCCCGAGTCAGAGCGAGGGAGACGGCAGACGCCAGATGAGGTAGAAATGCAATCCCGGTCCCTGGAGTGCGATGGAAATCAGTCGAGCTACGAGGCACCGACGAATGCCATTGAGTTCCAGTGAGGGGCAGAGTAGCACTGAGGAAAGGTCAGAGGTTGAACACAACGCTACCGGTACTGTGCGGAAGTTAACGTCAAAATCCAATGGGAAGGCAGAACACCAAAATCATTCTTGTTGCATAATATGTTGACAGTGTTTCGAAACTGAAAAACAATGTGGTCACACAGTCAAAATGCAGAAAATGTGTTAAATATTCAACAAAATAAAAATAAGCATTCAAAACAAGCTTCGCACGCCGTGTTGTTTCTGCAATACTGCAAGCACGCCGACACTGGACATTCCGGGTTCTCTGCAATCTCTGCAATTTTCAAACCGCATCGCATTAGATCTCGTGAATGCTTCAGTAGCGCGAGCTGTACACACTCGGTGCGCTCGCTGCATCGCAGATCAGAGTCATCCAGTAAACATGCCAGGCACGGTGCACACTCAGACGCAAACTCTGTACACCCGCGCGGCGTGAGCGCCAACCATGCTGAGGGCGAGTGTGAGCACCATCAAACACCAAATACGCACTGTACGGTCCCCGAGATAGATCTTTTTCCGCACATAGTCGACTGTCAGCCAGACATTGCCCGAAGGCTCCAGAGGCTCGGCAGGCCGCTCCTGACCCTGTCCGAGGTCAGGTCAGCTACGTCAGGGCTCCAGAGTGTCAGGCAGTTCAACAAAGTCCGCTAGGTCAAACCGGTAATCAACTACTTTCACAAACACGTACTCTCTTCGTTCTCCATAATTTCCCTCCCACCCAGTGAACTGACCTCGAAGTTGAAGACGCTGATGGCGCTGACGCCGTCCTTCATGTCGTTGTCGTTCTCGTCGCCGATGATGATGGTGAAGAGACTGGTGCCCGTCAGGGAGGTCGGTGACGCCGTGTCTCGGTCACTGACCACCACCGGGATGTTGTACTCCTTCTGCATCTCGCGGTCGAACGACACCAGAGGACGGATTTCGGCACGGTTATCCTGCTCTGTGGGCGGTGAGAGGTAGAGTCGGGTCATGACACGTCGGCGGAGGTCACCAGAGGTCACCAAAGGTCAGTGGGTCACTGCAGTCACCAAAGGTCAGGTCAGAACACCTCGTTCACCGGGGTAAATGCACCGACAGCGGCGTGCGACACACCAACCATTGAAGACAAATGACGGTGCTGGCTGTGTCGAGAGCACCATTACTCCGCCTTCAAACACCCTTTGGAGCGCCGATAGCGGCACTTCCAGTGGCCGTTTGTCCCGCCTGCCGGGGCAGCGGGTGCGCTCGACGCGGCAGAGTCCGCGGGCCAGCCAGGAGACGGCCGACGGCGGACGGCGGGCTCTCGGTTCGCACGGAACCACACACAATTAGCCGAAATGCATGGCTTTATAGGCGGCATTTCGGCCATCCGACCGGGCCAGACGGCGCCGCGCCAGACACCGCAAGTCACCGAAACGTCAGAGGCGCGCCATAACTGCCGCCATAAACCGCGCGCCGCGCGCCAGAAGCGTCACCTGGCCGCGCCGTACCTCGTCACAATTCCGCTTTATCGCCGCAATCAAGCAAACAGTACTAACACGTCAGCCGTAACGCTGCATATTCAGCTCGGCGAGTTATTAAAGCCGACCGCCCCGGGTGAGCTTCGAACCCGTGACCTTTCAGTTACTGATCCCATTCCCTTCAGCATCACGTTCCACCTACCGACGGTGGTGACGGAGAACATGTCGTGCAGCTCGGCGGGCGCGTCCGGGTCCAAGGCGAAGGTGTAGGGCGGGCCGTTCCACTGGTGGTCGTCAAAGTCATCCGCCTCGACGGGGATGACCACACCCTCGGGGGATTTGTTCTCCATGATCACCTGGCGCGTGTCTTCGCTCTGTGTGGAGATATAAGGCACCGTCATCAGGACAGTAGCATGGGTTGGGTTATGGGTATGACTCGCACTAATGGCTACATCTGCCAGGGCTGTAGTATCTGAGCCATCCAGTGTCCAGCCAGTGTGTAGTGTGCAATGGTTACATGAAATGAAATTCTGAATGGTGAACAAAATATCCGAAACCCTGAGCGATCAGTGGGCGAAGAATATAAGATAGGTTGTGAATGTATCAAAACACGAGCTTGCCCTTCAATCAATGCCGCTATTGGCGGAGTGCGGAAGTGACTATATATGGCCTTGGCGGAAGCCCTCTTACTGTGCGGTGCGTATGGCCTTGGTCTAAGAGTCAGTGTGAAAAATGCAGAATTCCCCTGAAATGAGGCGGCCATCTTACCTGGACCAGGTATGGCGCGTTGTCGTTGATATCGGTCAGAGTCAGTGTAAAGAGTACAGAGTTTTCCCGGCCTGCGGCGGCCATCTTACCTGGACCAGGTACGGCGCGTTGTCAGTGTCAGTGTTAAGAATGCAGAGTTTCCCTGGCCTGCGGCGGCCATCTTACCTGGACCAGGTATGGCGCGTTGTCGTTGATATCGGTCAGCGTCAGTGTGAACGGTACGGAGTTTCCCTGTCCGATGCCGCCCTCGTCCCACGCCTGAACGGAGAGCTCCCAGACCTCGCGTCCGCCGGTGCCCTCGTCACGGTCCAGAATCTGCCGGAACACACGTCATAGTCATTAACATAACAGTCACAAATTGTTACCAACCGTCACAGTGTGAAAGCCGTCAACAAACCAGCATTATCAAACCGTCAGTGCTACAGACGGGTACAGGCCGGATCATGCACGAATAGCTGCTACACACTGCTACAGGCCACAAAGATTTAGTATACGTCACACAGTACCGATACGATGTGTCATACACCGTTTCGGTCTGTCATAAGCCGACATCGACCGTCACAAATCGTTATAAGACTGTCACAGCATAGCCGGAATGCGAGATAATAAGAACTAAGAATGGACGGCAATTTCGATGCATAGATATGACAGTCATGGAGACTGGAATAGACAGCTGTTCCGATACACAAATATGACAGGGTCTCAGAATGGACCTGTCTCGTATACACAGCCCACAGTCAGATGTGCCGCCGTCAGATGGGTCGTATGTCAGTCGGGACACATTAGCAACGTCCACGGTCGGCGGCGGGGCCCTCATTAATCACAGAGGCGCCATCACGGTCCGTCGGCAGCCAACGGCGAGCGGACGAACCAGGATGGACCTGGGGATAGCCGGATGGACCAGGCTAGACCCCGAGATGGGCGGATGGACCCAGGATGGACCCCGAATAGGCGGATGGACCAGGATGGACCCGGGATAGCCGGATGGGCCAGGATGGACCCAGAGATGGGCGGATGGACCCAAGATGGACCGGGGGATAGCCGGATGGACCAAGATGGACCCCAGACGGACCCCCGACGGACCCAGTGACGAGCTGACCCAGGACATGGAGCGGATGGACCCGAGACGGGGGATGGATCTGAGACGGGCGGTTCTCCGTCATCATTCTAAGGGTAGAATCGGCTGGCAATATGAGGGCCAAGATAGGTTAGGTATGCTATGGAAACAAATGATCCAGAGTATACAAATATGCCCTATTCAAAACGTTCGGTAGCACAGAAGGACTAAAATGATAAGAGATACGATGCAGGAACGATACTTTTCAACAAAACAAACACAACACAACTAACTGACAGCACGAATACTGCAAAGACGCAGGCGCTTGCCACAGCATTAGCTTATCAGTCGAGCTTCCATACTACCGCTGGGATCCATAAATGATTGTCATTTCATAAAAACCAGGCCCCACCTTATCAACTGATTGGTTCCGATCGATCGTATCGAAAAAAAAAATCATAATGGCACCAACATGCGACCGAAAACAGCCGGTGAGAATGGTTCCGGCGAACAAACGTATCCCGACTGATCAAAGAATACACTGCAGAAGTTGAGCCACCTGGCTCACCTGTAGAGCCGCAGAAGCAATATCAAAACGTATGGCGGGTGTCGGTAAAGTAAGACAAACGGCATCAATATATCACAATGCCTCTACGCCTTACTGTAACTCCGGCTCTCCCCCCCCCCCCGCTCCTCTCAATACCGTCAGTCCCAGCGCTGCGTCCGCTCACCTTTTGTACCAGAACCTCTCCGTTTTCGTTGATGCTGAACACATCATCCTCAGGGTGGTCGGGGAACACTCCTGGTCCGGAGAGCTTGTACACGATCGACGAGACGCCGGAGACCGGGTCCGGGTCGGTGGCCGTGACCTGAGGGCAGCAGAGGTTAGCGGAGGTTACCAGAGGTCACCAGAGGCCAGCAAATGTCAACAGAGGTCAGCAAACGTCTGCAAGGTTGATTAAGGTCAACAGAGGCCAGTGACGTTCTGAAATCAATAACGACCAAGAGAAGTAACTTGAGGACAACAGAGGTTAGTAGAAGTCAGTAGAAAAGAGACAAGTCAACGTTGACAAAGAACGGTTGAGGTCAGTAGAAAACACTCGCAGAGTTCAACTGAGGTCAACAAAGATCAACAGATATAAATGAAGATCCCAAGAGATCAGTAAAGGCCAGGCGCATTTAAAAAAGGTCACTGAGGGGTCGTATAGTTCGTCCCCTGTCTGCAGTCGCCGGTAAAGGTCAGCGTCGGCTCGGAGTCTGAACGGCCATGAAAGATTGCCGTGGAGGCGCGGAGGACGATAAAGCACAAGCCTGGTCAGGGACGGGGACTGGGGGGGGGGGGGGGGGGGCGGTACGCCGGTGGGAGACGGTTACACGGGCCTGTTTGGCCTGCGACCCTTGACGTGAAAATGAAGCCCGTATCGCAGTAATTCACAATAATAAACAGCCATAGATGATCGCTCCACGCTACCAGCTATTGAACAGCAGCCTTAAATAAATAATAAAGGCCGGCGAGTGCAAAAGCCATCACCGTGAACAATAGCGACATCGGGCTAATTCACACTAAATATCCACGCCACCATTTAACTTTCAAATCATAATAAATAGCCGTGCCCAGGTGCGAACTCCGCCCCAACGGTGAAAATAAACGAGCGGAATAGCATTAATAGTGACATTTTCAGGTCGGACAAACATGAAGTGTTGCCGCCTTCTTTGGAAGGCCCCGGTCGGATGTCCAGCTGTACCGATAGTTTCTCTGTGGGGTCTCGGCGTATGACTCGCGGTGCACACAAGTGTCCGTTCATCAATATCGGCAATCCATACGGGCACCGAATGAAACTGCGCCACTTTGGTCATCACGCCGAAATTACGAACATCGATTTCAGTTCCGCGCCAGGAAACGTGACTTATCAGCTAGTGGTTTCGCGAAAGGCATTGATCCTAGCTCTCAGGCAGTGTACTATAGTAGTTTTACGAAACCAACCGCAGCCCACTCAGTGGCACTTTCCACTCTGTCGCCGGCGAGCCACGACGACAAAAGGTTTTACTTGTTACACCGGACGCGAGGCTCGCGAAAGGGCACAGCGAACGGCGAAAATTGCCCCAGTAAACCGGGAAGTAAACGCCAGCCATGAAATTGCTATGTCACGTCCGGCACGAATGGCTCATATATTCGCACGTCGTGACGACAGCAGCCGAATGAATTATACATGCTCTCCAAATTACCCGGCCGCTTCTGCTCCGGCTTCACTGTTCACGTACGAAACCATTAATTCATTCGCTGTCTGCTAACACCCTACCGGAGCGCTATATGCGGGCCTTGCCCCGAGATCGGCTCTATATTATCCGAGTCAACTGGCAAGAGCCGTCAGTCATGGTGAGAGTTTCGTCAATAGTGAGTATACTGAGTTACGTCAATGGAGAGTGCTGAATTTCGTCAATAGTGAGTATGCTGAGTTACGTCAATGGAGAGTGCTGGGTTACGCGAATGGAGAGTGCTGAGTTACGTCGATGGTGAGTACTGAGCTAAGTCAGTGGTGAGGTACTGAGCTGAGCAACATTGATAGCGAGTTAAGTCATTGGTGAGTTACCTACGTCGATGGTGAGAGGGTGGGTCGATTCTCACCTTGACGATGGGCTCGGAGGAGTCTCGCGGCCCCTCGCTCATCTTCAGCTGGTAGCTGGGCTTGTCGAACACGGGAGGCACGTCATTGATGTTGGTGACGTTGATGTCCACAGCGTGGGTGGCCTCGTACTTTCCGTCCGACGCCGTCACCGTGATTTTGTACTGCAGAAGACGAAAAGGTCAGTTAGGAGACTGGCTATATTAACATTGACTCTTGGCCAGCTGAATTAAGGATACTACGCTGAACCATATATTTGGCTTCTCAGACGTAAATGCATAAGTATTCTTTCCACATTGATACAATAAATCGATGCGCAATTTAATTCATGAATATCATTTAGAGCATCGCAATTCACAGTAATCCTCATTTAAAAATAACTCGCACAATTCTCTCCGAGAGCCAGGGTCGTGGACCGTGGTGCTGTTGGATCAGCATACAGCACTTGCGTCTAGGTCGCGGGGACTCACTGTGTTGACTCGCTCAAAGTCGAGTGCGTTCTTGACTCTGACGATGCCCGTGTCGGAGTCAATGTCGAACACGCCGCCGTAGTTGCCGTCCGTGATCTGGTACTGGATCTTCGAGTCTGACATTGGAGAGAGGCAGGTCACGACATACTCGTACAGTAGTTTGGGAGCACAAATAAACATGAGGGCATAAATCTGGGTCCTGAGCCGGTCGAAGACACCTCCACATTACGGCGAATAATACAGCATGGTGCATAGTTACTATGATACCAGCTGGCAATTGAACACAAAATGACATCGATCCCTTATTTTTCGGGGAACAGCTCCAGCATATGACACGATCATTTTTATCAGACTGTCAGTACCAGTAACACACACACGACGACAATGTAGTATTGTCTACGAATCACCAATACAACGCCTAAAAATAGAACACAACAGTCCGAAGATAACATTCTTTCCTGCTGAATAGAAAACACATTTATAGCACATATAGCTTCTCCGACACCCAACTCTTCCGGGGAAGAAACCAAAAAGGTAAACTGCCTTAAAACCACTCCGGATCCCTGACCCAGCCACTCACCCGAGTCCTGGTCGCTGGCGAGCACCTCCATGACGTTGGCGCCCTTGTTAGCCTGTTCCGATATGGTGGCCTTGTATCTCCGGTTGGGGTCGAACACGGGTGGGTTGTCGTTCACATCACCAATCTCCACCTTGATGCGCTGTTTCACTGAGGACGGATGGCGGAGGTCAGGTCATGGAACAGGTGACCGGTGGGGCGCCATTTGCGCTTTATGGCATACCAGTATCTCCTCAGCGACAAGATACAGCGTGTAGGTACTGTAGGCCGTGGTAGAAATGAATTATAAGCAGAAAAGCCAACCTTAACAATTAGTGTTTTATTATATATGCATTCTGCAACAAATGTTTGTACGCAGATGGTCTACTACGTAGTAACTACAGACTCCGGCTCAACTAGATTTATGCACAGGCCGAATTGGTCGACACGACAATGATGATAATCCGAAGACAAAAGAGCGTTCCATCAAAGTCTCCTCAACAAAAAGAGAATTACGGCAATAGTGAGCGTAAGTCATTAGCGCCTTAATACTAGTACATCAACATGGCTACTGATTACGGCTGCATTATTTACTGCCGTAATCCCCACCACCAGCAATAGCGTATTTCCCAGCATAATGCTGGGTAGAGACGTATGTACATACATGAGTCGAGCTGGACCGGAAGACGAGCCTTGCCATACTTGTATACTACGACACGAATCTCACCATACCTGTACTAGGTCAATACGTGTCCCACTATTCCAATGTTTGGTCAAAACATACCCCATCACACCTTTGTTACGCCGCTTTATAATATGTCCCATCACACCTGCCTCAAGTCAAGCCGAGTGTCACCATACCGCGTTGGCTCGACACGAGTTCCCTAACCTATGCTGAGTCGAGACACCTCCCACTTTACCTGTATTGGGTCGAGACATCTCCCACCATACCTATATTGGGTCGAGACACCTCCAACCGTACCTGTATTGGGTCGAGAAGTGTTGCGGATTCCTGACGGCGCCCCGTCCTCCGCCACCACAGTGACAGTGTAGAAGGGCGATGGCCGAGACAGGTCTTCCCGATCGAAACGCTCCCGGGTCTTGATCTCGCCCGTGTTCGGGTCGATGCTGAAGAGCTTCTCTTCTTCCGAGTTTGGCTCGAAGCGGTAGGTCACCTGTGGGGAGAGCGGAGGGGTCAGCGGGAACGTTCATATGAGGGTTATCGAAACGCGTGCTGTAAGAAATATACGCCCAATGTGAAAGTGGAGGAGGATGAGGGTTGAGAGATAATGAAACTGTTCACGGGTGTAGTGAGAATATTGAATGATGTTAACAGTCACTTTCACGGCCCGGCCCATTCACAGGCCACACATCAGTGACCCGGAGGGCTGACACATCAGTGAATCAATGACCCTGACACACACGTCGCTCAAGTGACCTTGACAGTTGGCACACCAGTGTCCTGTGTAGCCCTGACACACAATGTCCTTGACCCTACCAGGCACAGCGGTAAAACCCGCCCGCTCCAGTACCGACCCTATGTCGTCGCGTGCCGCGCAAACCGCCAATACCAGACTCATTAATGTAATACGCCGTGCTGGTGGACGGTATTATGTTAATTACTGTGTCATCAGTGGTCTTGGTATTCCTCAACACAAAAAACAACACGGCCTCAAAATTGACGGGTAGGTGTATTTGTGGTTTAGTATGATTGCACGTAGTGCAAAAAGTGGAGTTTTGAAGGCCATTTGCTGGTAATGCCGATGCAGAGATGTATGTTATTAGGAGAGAGATTACTGTATGCCTGGCCTATTCAAATACATTAGCCTGAGGGGTGTGGTAATAACTGGTGTAAGCAAAGTGACCACGGTCAAAAACGAATTACCAAGTCAACATTTTGGGATGGCCTCGTTCAAAAAATGGCTAAGAGCTTCGGTCTAGACAATTATTTTATCGTTGGCATACAGTAAAATACATACCAAACTCGGCCGGTGATAAATTTTGAAGACCTCAGTCCTTACTGATTTTTGAACTCGGCCTTCGGCCTCGTTCAAAAATTCAGTAAGGACCTCGGTCTTGAAAATTTATTTACACCGGCCTCGTTCAGTATTGTATATTACCACTAGCGTGTTCCTCGCAGTCGTGTTTGCCGTTCTGTCGATTGTTGATGACAGTGGGACTCCTATCGACGGAGGGTGATGACGGCCCACCGGCAAACACCGTGGTCCAGAGCCGCAGCATTGACTCAGAGAATGACGTGAACTGTATATCGACCAGGGGTTATGTACCTTATCGATTGACGCAAAATATGGATCAGTCAGGTAATAAGACTATGTTTATATAGAGGAATCCGCCTCTACTGGCAAATCTGTACACACAAGACATACTTCAAGGGCTAGATGTTGCTAAACATAGACACATCATCTTATGATATAAATATTATCGAACTTAAATAAGCTTATCAACATTCACAGTCCAAAGTCGTCCTATTATCATATCATAGCCGTCCGCTTTCCCTTCAAGCATTAACAATCGCTCAATAACCATCCCTTCTCTCACACTAAACAGCAAAACCTACATTAATACAATTGATACCACAGCTCTTCCCCCTCCCATACACACCTGATTGTTGGGCGCCGTGCCGTCCTTGTCGATAGCCGATGTTTTGGTGACGTAGGTGCCCGGCTCAGAGTTCTCCGGCACCGTCACCGGGTCCGTGTTGTAGAAGATGGGTACCTCGTCGTTGGAATCCTCCAGGTCGATACGGAACGTGACCTCGGCGCCCGTCTGCTGGTCCGTCTGTGGAGGGTCAGGAAAGGTCAGATGGGGTCACAGGTGAGCTGAAGTGATGGATGCCTGGACAGGACAGGAGAGGAAGATCAGGGAAGGAAAGTCAGGGCAGGGAAGGATAGGACAGGATAGGACAGGGCAATGCAAAAAGGTCCAGCAGGAGAGAGTGGGGTAGGGTAGGGTAGGACAGGGTAGGGTAGGACAGGGCAGGACAGGACAGGACAGGACAAGACAGGGCAGGCCTGGGCAGGGCAGGGTAGGACGGGGCGGCGAGGGTCAAGGGTCAATCAGGGTCAATGTCTAACTCTTCTTAGGTTAGGAATTATAACGTCATGTCAAGACAAGGTAAGACCGGGCAGTTTAAGAGCAGTCTTTGTTTATGCATGCTTCGTTACGAGCAAACTAGCAGACTTTCTACAGCATTGGCTTGAACCGCTGTTCTGCTAAGGTACTGAAAACAAAATGTTGCAAACTTTACAATCTAATTTTCATTCTAAAAATACCCTCCACCTGAAGCTTGTGTGTATAATAACCGTGAAATACAACGAAACTTGTATTATTTAATTACAGAGTGGCACAGGTTTCGCAGTCATTTAGAGAAGGAGCTACAGTCATTAGCAACTTGGATGCCTTTTAACGGCATTGTCATAATCATACGGTTCAACAATGCAATCTCCACTAACTACAACTGAGCATTCAGGGCCATAAGCGCCTCTGCGAAGGCGAGGTCGACATGAAACTGATCCAGAGGTCGCGGGTCACCGAGGCCGGCTTAACTACAAAACCACGGGAATTCTACGGAAATTCATCATTAACATGACATCGATGGTGAGAAGGCCATATTCAACGGAAACGGTATTGAGAGCACTCGTTAAAAGTTCTAGTTTTAGCGTAGCTGGCTGTTCTAGACGTTCCAAGGTTATTTTGCGTGCGCATCGTCCATAAGGGGAACAAATGACTTTACAGAGAGTCAGTCCTTCCATCCACATTGATTGTTAACCAAGGCCCAGTATAAAATAAGGATATTTCTTTCGTCCACCATTCACCAAACACCTGTTCTATCAACATGTCAAACCGTCTTTATCATCCCATAAGATCCGATCATCACAAGGGGACCTCCTAATCCCGTGCTAGTACCGCACATTGTCACCCACCCCGAGGAGTTTTCAGGCCGTCCCACTCCAACCGGACACTATCCAATGACATCATCGACTGACAATGACGTCATTACCCGCCGCCCAATGGCCGCCGTTTGCGGTCGTAAGCCGCTGTTGTCGCGAACATTAGCTGTGTTCGACAGGTATCGCCGTAATAACGGAACACGTCAGGTGGGCGTTCAGACCTGCGTTGAGTAGGGACCGTTGGAGTGGGGAAACCACCCCACCAAAGGGGGAGCGGTCACCAAGGGGGGGGGGCGACCTGAGGCCCGCCGCGTCAGGGGACCAGCTCAGGTTCACGGATCGCTGATTCAGTAATCGTTCGGTCTGTTCTATGTACTGCATGACTGAGTTTGGTGTCAACAATGTTTCGTTTGATCCAGCACGAAGCGTGTTTTATGTGAATAATTCGTAACACAACGAAAAAGCAGCACCTTCCGGGCATCCATCTCCAATAATGAGCCTAAATTACGCTTTGCATATTCGTCAGGTTGTAAATTGACTCGTTCAATTATGACCAATTCGTGAGTGCTAAAACCCTAAACGATAACCAAATAAAATCACTCACAAGCCAGCATAATGAAGCATTATCGGTTTAACGATATCTCTATTGGCATAATACCGTTAATCTTTAGTTTACGCAGCATATCAGCAAAGGAGCCTGAGTGGTGCGGTAAATCACGCTGTGATTTTCGGACCCCGGCGCCGCCTTCTGCAGCTGGCACTGCTATACGCTGCGAACAACTCACCGTCCCATTCTTCATGTCCGGAGCGATATATCACACAACTGCCGCCATAACCCACTAACGGCATCGAACAACCGCAATTTCGGCCGACAATGGGACACGAGCACGGCCGATTTGAATACCTCCCAGCGGCAACTTTTCGACTCCGGCTCCGCCCAAGTGGCTGCTAACAAGCACCTTCCAGACTCGCACGTTCACTGCTGACCACTAGTCTCCCCTCCCCCTTGCCCCCTGGGTCCCAAGGATCCCAACACGAACTCACAAAATAATTACCTGAAAAGTAGCTGCTAAGACCTAGCCAAGCCAACCTCCTCTGATGTGTTTTAGTACATGCACCCTAGCTCATCTTTCCTTGAAATCTACATACCGTGGCTCTGACAGTAATGTTGTAGCTCTCCAGCTTCTCGTAGTCGAGTTGCCGACTTCCTCCGTATTTGACGATGGCGCCACCGTCGCCGTCCTCCTCCACGACAAACGTACGGTCTCTGTTGGTCTGCTCTTGGGAGCCGGCCACGATATCATAGTAGATGGCTGGACTGTCGGGAGAGTTGGAACTGCCGAGAGATGGAGGTGGGATGCGTCAGTCAAAAGAAGTTTATGAGCGCAGCATACACTCTTGAACAATGGGGGCATTGGTTTAGGGTTGCAGCGCAAAACTATACACTTGGTGGGACGTTTTACAGAAATTCGGAATTTCATTAGTTCTTAGCGTTGTTTTTTATATTCTATTTCTGCCAACTTAAAAGAACGGAAATACAGAGTACAAACTCATGAATAAAAGCAGTTAAGTTACATCTACTGTAACATTATAATACCAACTGCACTATAACCTGACAGGCCTTCAGAAGTCGAAAATGAACGCTATTAGGCTATCATGTACTTGGGCCATAAAGCCACTTGACTTTACTATGTAAAAAGAAACTACAGCCATCAAATCGACAAACCAAATAGCCCATAACGATACCGTGCGTCGGTCGGCGCGGAAGCTCCTAACAAATTAACCGGTGCCCTTCTGGGAAACGTAACGGCCCGCATGGTAAGTACAAACTCCTAACGACTTCTGTCGAAGGCGGTAACGACCCGAAATATATGTTCAGGAAGCTATGGAGCCTCCCCCAGCCCTCAAACTACGCGACGATGGCCGAAAACTTTCAAACTTCCGGTGCATGGGCGTAGAAAATGCGCACTTATCGCACACTTTTGTGACTTGAGCGAAGTTCAAGCATGCCCTGAACAAATAGATCATCGCCGTACCTTGTCTCCACAACCAAAAGTCCAACAGAACTCTGACTTCATAAGCCACGGTCAGCAATTTTTCACAGCCATTTGTCGCCTGTCTGAAGGAAACGCCGACCAACCACGCGCCGCGCCGGACACCCGACACAACTGGTGAAGTCGCGACGGCCGTGAGCGTGATTTAGGACCCGGTCGGTGCAATTGCCCTCCTTCCCTCCCCTCGAAGGTCATGCGTACTAGCCTGACAATCTGTTTCAACCCACGTTCCCCTTCCCCTCCCATCGCGCACACTGCAAAGGTTTTGCCCGTCAACCGTGGTTGCACGTAACGGTACCTCTATTCCAGTCAAACGGACTCGTCGTCATGACCCTCTCCCCAGCTCCCTACCCCCCCCCCCCCCACACACACACAAACCCGAGGCTAAAATGGAGGGGCGTGTCAAGCCAGACCATTCTTCCATACAAATGGCTCACTGCATATGCAGAAACGACCCGTTAACGGTGCTAAAGGCCCGGAATCTGTAAGCGTTTTGGTTAGACTTACTTCGTGTGCGCATATTCGGGTATTTAAATAAACTATCACGCTTGGTTCAGCGACAGGCCATTGTCGTCTTTTCTACTGCAGTCGCCCCTAATTTATGGGCTTCACGCAACAAATCCACCTCGAGGTCTTCCAACGCCGCTGCACTTTTACTATAGCATAACTAATTTAAAAAAGAATATTAAATTATTAATGGCTTAACTTACTGAATCCTACATCTCTACACACGCTCCTCCATCTAAAACTTTGCATAAGACGTAACACTTTAATATCATTTTAATAAGACCGCAATCGCGGTTTGACAGTGACCCAACGCTGACTTGCTATGTTCCCCTCTCATTCATACCGGCGGCCCAACTCACACTGCCTTGACGCGAGCGATGGGTGCCTCCGTGTCTCTGAAGTTCTCCGGCAGGTGGTACGTCTGATTCGGCCTCAGGATGAACGTGGGTGGCCGCGTGTTGGAGTCCTTGACGGTGATAATGACGGACACCTCGGCAGAGAGGGGGTCCGCGCCGCGGTCCCGTGCCGTCGCGGTCAGACGGAAGTCGTAGTCGATCGAAATCTGCGGAGGGTGAGGGGTGAGGAAGAGTGAGACAGGGGTAAGAGAAGGGAGAATGAGAGAAAAATGAGGAAGAGGGCTATGCAGTTTCAGAGACAGTTGAAGAAGGAAACTGATGGCATGACCAGAAAAAGGTTATAGCTCGTCGAAGAATAGCCTTTGTACGTGACTTTGCAGCATCAATTGTGATAGTCTTTTTCTAACATACCACACCGATAAAAATAGTATTCCTACTAATGTGTTAGAGTCATCAAAGCAAGCACGCACAGTGAGGTCCCAACGAAGCCATTATGCTGCTGCAAAGCGACATGTCATGTCTATATTCAGTCCCTTCGTGGCGCATGCCGAGAACACTCAGGCCAAGGGGTCGTCAGCAAACACGTTCCAGACGTACCGTCTTTGCACTCGGCTCAGCTGTCTCATCAGTGCCAGTAGGTACGGTGTGTGTGGACTGGTGCAGAGGCGGAAGTGGAATGGAAGGGGTGAAGGGTGACAAACGGCAAAGGGGGACGGGGAATGCAAAAGAAAAGGAGAGGGGATAACCGAAAAACGGGGAATCATAACGCAAATACCCCGGCATCTCTGCAACTTCATAATACAGAAGCCCCCAACCCCCACTTACTAAATTCTCACAATGACCTCCAGCCGGCAGTCAGCCTAACTGTCTCCTCGCCTGAGAAACCGCTGCCCAGAGGCACCACTGCTCCCAAGACCCCTGTTACGAACCCCCAACCCTACCGCGCCCCATGACCCGGCCCGCTCCGCCACACTCCGGTACCGCCCACGCCGACACTGGGTCAATATGGTAGCAATTTACGGGTGTCTGGAGTGGCAGCACGAGGTGCTAATGTCGCACCTTCACTGCCACCTTTCAGCAGCCAGCGGCGCGCCAGTGGCGTCCACGACACTCAGTCCGCCCCCGCGGTGCTCGAGGGCACGGGGACGGCGCCGGGGGCCGCTGACACTTGACGGTGGGATCGAGCAGGGGGAAATCACGGGACGGACGCGGGGCGGCGATGGCTTTGTTGGACGAGAATAGCGTCGAAGGGAGTGCAGATGAAGTCTGTATGTGCCAAAGAGACGAGGTGCATCGGGAGTCATAACGAATTAGCATTGCCGAACAGACCCTAAAAAAACAATGCTGGATAATTTGGTGATTCATTTGCCTGATTCATACATCAAATCGACCCGCTTGCGGATAGTCCTCTAATTTACTAGTTCTTCATTTACGAGGTAACTACCCTTTTTATGTCAGCTGAACGGCGAAATAATCATTCCTGTAAGGACCAGCGATGAAAGCCTACGAGGGTCATCAAATAAAACAATTCATTAACTTCGTCGCCAGCCAGTCCCCTATACAAATCACAATCACTTCATCCATCCATCTGCACACAATAATAAATATCAGTTACCGAACAACGACACTGAAAAGTCGTGTGTTCTTCTTCCCAGTTGCACCACCGTCAATGCTGTTGCGCCCCTTTCACCCTCCCCCCTCTCCCCACCTCGTTCCGTCTAGACCACCCACTCTCACCCTTCCGTTCCCTTAAATTCCCCCCTCTCCCCGTTCCGTCCTCTAAGTCACCCCCACTATCCTCGTCCTGTCCCTCTAAGTCACCCCACTTTCCCCGCCTCGTCCCTCTAACTCACCCCTTCCAGTCTCCTGACTAGCGTGATGACACCGGTGCGAGGGTCGACGCTGAAGTACCCGGCATCGGCGTCTCTCAGTGAGGTCAGGTCGTACTCGACGGTTCCGTTCTCGTCACTGTCGGCATCGGTCGCGGAGATCCGCAGCACGGCAGAGTTGAGCTCCGTGTCGCGAGGGATCGACTCCTGGTAGCTCTGTGGAAGACGGGAGAAAAACTCGGTCAGATCGGGCGAGTGGGAAGCAATAAGGGGAAGACTGAATGGTGTAAACGGTGCGAGATGCGCTTGAGTGTTGATATATAAGCTTGCGTGCTGATATATACGATTGTGAAACTGTTTACACATATCCAATCCATCTTATCCGCTATTACGACAAAATTATATTCATCCATAAAAAATCAATAGCCATCATCAAAAGGCAATTCAGTTGTTTACTGTGGTATACTCATTACTCAATGAGTCCACCGATTAACAATGCAAAGTTAAATGCTCAACTGCAAGCACAACCCTTTCTCAGAGGCCCAGTCTGAGCCAGCCCACCACACCTCGTTAGCTTTTAGCCGAGGTCCTATGTAGCACAGGACATTAATATAGGTACACGGATGCAAGCAGTCTAAGCGCTGAATTAGCCCGTATTACACACAGAATTAGCTGGTTCATCAATTACAAAATGAGTTAGACGGATTACTGGAGACGCACACTCTCATTCCCGACTCGCAGAATAGAGTCACTAAGTAGATAAGTTGTCAACCGGTAAGAACTTCCGAGACATAATAACGTCAATAATTCATCAAGAATTCCAGCGAAGAAAAGCGGCCACAATCTTGGTCCTATATTAACACTTGCCACGACTATCAATATTAAGGGAACGACTGCGAATAAAAAGGAAACTACCAAACAAAATACTATATGAGCCCATCAACTGTGTTATAAATCTATCACAGCGCTGCCTCGCCCTCAATTAGCGTGGCAGGGGCCATAACAGAAAACTGCGGTCATTAAGCTAATTCGGTCATTTTACAACCCATTACGCCCCACAGGAGCCATTAACAGGACCAATTCCTCACCAGCTTTCCCCGGAGACACAGAACTACGTCTCTAAATCCAAGATCCACATGCAGGCCGACGAATCTGCGAAGCCCGCCGTCCCTGACAGGAGGGCGGAGACTGTCGTTCGACGAACTCTAACCGACACCAGCCTCGCCGGGGTATTTAGCGGTGACCTACACGGCGCACTGGGTAATTCTCATTATCCTGTCACGTAAATCACCCGGACTACATGTCCCTCTCCTCACGAACGAAGCCAGGACGTTTACACAAGTCATGCTAGCAATCGGCAACGATTTATCAAACCACCGCCTCATAGAAATTCCACAGAGGTCATTATCCCATTCGTCAACATTATTTGACGACCGTATCGGTTCCGGTAGCTCCATATCTGCCACAGCCTGAGAAAGCGCCCCGACTCGGTGTGCTAAGACTCTATTCCAGGACCGGCGTCACTATACAAACGACAGCGTTCTGAAAAAGCCGCCGGGTTCGACGGCGCGTTAGAAACGAGTCCGTTTAGCGAGATCACCGAACCATGTCATCACGCCAGCCGGGCCGTCCAACAGTCTCGCGTGGCTCGCCCACCAGACATCCAACAAGTATTCCCGCCGGCTTAAATGTCACCGCCACGTTAAAGTTTTACGGTATGAGTGCTCTGAAGACGGGACGGGGGCCGAACGAGCGTGGTGCTCGCTCCCGCGCCTCTGGCGCTCCCCTGGGCAGCACCAGAGTCACGTCAGCGGCTCAACGTATCCCCGCGGCCGCACCTTAGCTGTCACCGCAGCCTTCGGCGGGGCGACCTGAGGTGAAGTTAACCACTCAATGCGACCTGACGCAAGTCCCCCGGCGCTCTCCCGACCGGCTAGTGCCATGGTCCGCGTGTCATTGTCGACATAGCGCCGTTTTGCCACCTCCAGCCCTCATTCGCCACCCCCACCGCCGAAAAGTCGACAAAGTCGTGCAGTGACATCGACCGAGTGGGTTTGATATAGATATCAACGGTCGGTGTTCGCTCCCACAGCCTAAAAGACTGCTCAGGAGCTTCGGAAATGTGGAGACGGCGACCTTTTTTAGGTGACGTGACGCCCTTTTCTGGGCGTCATGTCAACTTGCTGCCATGATAAAAATTAGGATTAAGAGGCCAAACTGATCCAAAAGCCACAAGGAAACACGAAAAGTTTCATTAGCGTATACCTGGCTAACATGCCCGGACACCATGTCCTGAACATCCGAACGCAAGCGCCGCTGGTACTATGGACCAGCTAATTGAATATCGATTTTCCAGCGAGCGCATGGTGCCAAGACATGACGCCCAGCCCGGTGAGTTCAGTCGACATGTGACAAGGGTGACGGCCGGGTCGATCGGTGACGATTCTGTCAGCGTGTCAAAGCTATAGAATATCAGTTATCACCCAATTCGGATACTGGCAGGTGCGGGGTTCATTTCGATCCTGATAAATAACCTAAGAAATACAAGAAATAAAGTAAGAAATGAACTGAGAAAAGAAATTCATTACATCTGGAAATGAGACACTTAGCAATATGAGATCATCAGACCACCCGTTCACATCAGAAAAATCGTTCAAATTTGGAGTAATCTATATGCAGAGGCAAAAAGCTGTCATCCAAAACAAAAATAAACCGGTAAATCGCAGTTACAGCTTTTGTAAACAGTAAACACCCAACAAATTAAGCACGGTTTTATAACAAATGACTCCCCTTAAAAAAGCAATCTCTGAACACGATCGACAACTAACGGCAGCACAAAGTAAGACGTCTCGGCCGACGTGATCTCCTCGTCAAAGGTCCGGATCTGTGGCAGCTCACGGCAGACCGTCATCACTCAATCCGTGCTCGGTCTGTCGTCCGGTGCAGTGAAATGTCAGCAAGCCAGGGTACCCGTCACCAACATATCAGTAGAAGGCCACAAGCTCGGCACGTGGCTTCAAGACGGGAGGTGAAAGACAAGAAAGACGGACGGACGGAGCGATAGAGGTGATGGGTGAATGAAGAGAGGGACAGAGGAAGGAAATGGGAGGGAGAAATTAAGAGCGAGCGTAAGAAAGAGGCAGCTAAGGCAAGGGGAGCTAGAGAGTGGATGTCTTCTGTTGTAATGGCTAAAAGCTGCGGAATATAAAATGATTGACGTGTAACTCGCTCTGAGTCGGGATCGAAGGTGGAAGGAGAAGGCCGCAACTAGACCGATCTAGACCCCCTAACCGCATCCTACGAAGTGCCACCTGATCACCATCCCCAATCACTGTCCCACTGAGTTTACTGCACAGTGCACAGCCCCGAGCGTCGCACGATGATGAAATGGACCCCTCCGTGCCCCGGGACCCACAGCCAATTGGCTGATTGCGCCCTAAAGACGGTGATATAGCGCCCTGACGGGGTCATCCAGTCGCGTTCCTGATTGGTGGTAGCGTCACAAAACGCCGGGTTATTGAAGTAAACATATACACACTGCACTGATTATTGTGCCAGTAATACACATGTCCATTGTCCATGGAATGATGACGTCTTACTGAGCATCGTCGTTATATGTAACATCACCATACATCGACTGCTTTAGCCTAGCAGATATGGCACCCTCACCATCACTTCTGCAGACAGCTAAGTATCAACAAATCGATATAGGCATGTATGCATCATTTCCTGCATTACTAGATACCAACACAAATACGTACATTATTCATACTAAGTGAGACGAATCGTGCCACTGGCGGACGTCCGTACCAGGCTGGAGATGGTGGAATAAGTGCCGGGTCACACTGCCGTAATAGTCGGGCACAGCGCGCACCGGCTGTCAGACATGATAAAGCGCCACGAATGCCGCGCTGGCGCCGATAATCGGCCGCCGGTCACCTATCCGGAACACACATGTCGTACCCTACATCCTCGTAGGATTTAGTAATAACGTTGTCACGATACGCCGGCGGTACTCTGCAACACGCACACGCTGCCGCTTACGGTGGCGTTCGCCGTAGGGTGGCGGTTTTCCGTGCAGGGCTCGCTGTTGAATTGTGACAAAGCCTGACGCCACGACACCGAGCTGCAGAAGGGATTAGCCATGCAGCCGCTGCGCAATGAAATATGAATTATCTGAAAGTCATTTGTCGCTGGAGGTGCCACTAAACCTGCAATGATGTGGTGACGAGTGACAGCGCTTGTATATTTTAACATCTCGAGCTACGTCCTCCTGTAGGGGAAAGTGGGGTAAGACGGGCACCTTAAATTTGGAGCCATTTTTCGGCCGGTTAGAAACATCATAGAAACGGGAAACTTGGTGAAAACCTTTTGTAGACATTTTGCTTCCATTTGCCAGAAGATGAGACTTAGACCTGATTCAACAAATAAACTGCAGCTATTTTGCAAAACCTTGCAAAAAACCGTCTCACCCCACCCCATGGGGGAAGACGGTCACATGGGTAGGGCAAGACGGCCAGCTTCTTTCACCGACCAGCAGTCAGCACAGCTCGCAACAAATGTCCGAGATTAGCCACATTGATACAGTCGCGCGTTGGTCTCAAGTGCTTCAGAAATGGCAGTATACGAGATTCGTGCAGATGGCGTATGCTCGTATATAGGCCCTATAGTTCAGAAGCCATGTAGAACCGTTTTTCACATTCATTATTCGAGAATAAACTGTGCCGAAGGAATATTGCTAACATGTCTGTGAGTATCGGAATCGAACATATTCTGATTAGAAATGCTTCTTTTTTTCCTACAGCAACAAAAATATTTTCACTTTTACAGACCCTGGACCCATTGGATTCATAGTTGCCCGTCTTACCCCAAACTCAATGTCAGAAGCTCAGCACGATTTTTCTCTGTGGACAATTTTATGCAGACAAAGCAAATCCGCGGTAAATGAGCACTGGTGGCATATGAGTGTACCACAAATGATTGCGAGTTTTTAACTCTATAGTGTTGCACACAAAAGCTTGCACAATACATTATGGATGTTTTCAGTGAAATGAGTGTTTTAAAGAAATCAAAATAAAAGATTATCGACTGAACACAAATTCACCAGACTTCAATGGTGGTGTGTAGTGGGAAAGGCAATTCTGGTCCTAATTTTTCTCGCTCGTAGCGCTATTGGTTTGGTCTGCAGAAGGGGTGCCCGTCTTACCTACCCTGACCGTCTTACCCCACTTTCCCCTAATAACTGTAGATGGCATCTAGATTCCGGTAGCTAAAGCAAATCAACATGAATCTACCAACAAAGTAGTAGCCGGGAACAAGCTATCTATGACAACCCAAATGCTCGCGTATGCACAACTGCTGACGGGGAACAAGACCAGCTGCTAACATCTTGGTTCAAAACGCCCTGACTCAATACTGAAGCCTTCTGACAAAATAAAACATGGATGAATCCTGCATCGTATGGAAAAACACGTTGACGAACAAAACAAAAGAGCTTTTCATACAGTTTTGATCGATAGGTACCAGTCCATTTGGAATGAGAGCAAACATGACGTTTGGAATTTGGATCATGTCGTCTTATGTCCACTGAGGTCTGAGGAATGGTCTCATTTCGGGAGAAATTACTGAATTTGCAGCATATGGGATGAACATATCATAACAAGTTCAACAAACCACACGAGGCTGCGGTGAATATGTACCTTGTTCAACTTGCTTATGCTGTTAGCCCGCAAACAGGGAACTGAGTGATGTGTTCCAGTCGTACCACAGCCGGCACGGGTTGTCCGTGTTTATATGATCAAAGACTATCAACTGGAGCTGGACCATGATTGGACGAGATATGGAGGGGAACCCCGGCATATCAGCGACTTTTGCGTTGTTACAGTGAGCGGAAATGGCCATTAGGATGGGTTCGGTGAGGCCGAGGGTGAGATAATTCACCAGCTTCTATGCATGGTGGCGTCAAATTAAATGATGAAACACCATTGTTTCGCTGTCAAATGTCGTGTCGAAATTTTGTGACCTAGCGTGGCCTACGTACCTACCTTGGGCTCCGTAACCTAGTTAGGACACCTTTAGCATGCATTTATGAGTGTGTAAACAAACAAAAAAAAAAACTGAGCGAACTCGTTGTGACTTGTTAGCGGCGGTCAGAGCCCGAGTTGTAGCATGCCAAAATGTAGACAATTTTTGCTTGGAACTGACCTGTCTGTAAGTAAATTTTCACATGCTATTCTGATAGTTCATGTGCGAGGTTTTAAAATACCGTTTCAATTTTGAAAATCGGTCGGTAACTTTTCCAGGGATTAGGGCAGGGCCCGAAATGCCCCCCCCCCCCTCTATACGGGATACGGGTGGCGGTGTCGGCGGGCCGAGGGGAATACCCCATCTATACAGAACGCGCTGACAGCGAGGGGCTGGTCTGTGTCACTGGCTCAAATTCCAGTCGCATCAGCACTAACAGGCGGCGCGTCAGCGTATTTACAAATTGCAACCGAGCTCCGCCGTAGGGTATTTTATTTCCGCCGTAGTGTATTTCAGTTGGGGTATTTTCTACCATAAATCCGCCTGAGCTTGGGGTAATTACAATTTGTCGGCGACGTTAAAAAATGATGCACCTTTTTTCGCAGTATAGGTTATCACATGTACATATTTTTGCCTTTTTTGTTGCGCTTTTCCCTCGCCCGTATTGGGGGAGGCGTTGAGCGGACCCCATCGGTTTTTCGTGAGTAACTCGCGTAAAAACCGTCCGATCGCGACGAAACTTTCAATACCCCCGATTTTATCAATTTTACTCCTACCCTGAAAATTTCATGACCCTGACCCAAATGACCTTTGACCTGTGACCTATTTCTCGAGACCATGTTTGGCACGAATCGCGATTCGGCGTATGTCGGCTCGCATAAGCCGCGCGTTTGCAGTCTTTACGTGGTTTCAAGCGTTGAAACATGTGATATGATGTTGGTCCCATGCATAAGGGTGGGTGTCACATGAAGGTCAGGTCAGCTCAATGACCTTTGATGACCTCGGTTCACTTTTTCGAGTTTAACATGTTTCTAGGCTAGTTTTTGGAGCTGATTTCAAATTTAGCAATCATTTGAACATTACAGCGGGTGTAACAAAGTTATCCGGACATCTTTCTTCCCGCTGTAATTAAAAAGCAAAACATTCTGCCATTCTGATTTCTGGTACTTTTTATTTTGACTGAGCATGTAGCCAACTTTCATAAAAACAAAGTGGCGAATGTTTTGGAGCATTTCAGCCAATGGATTCTCCAGGACACTGGCTTTGATGCGGACCAACGCCGTCTAAACCTTCGCCTGCGGTTGGGCGGTGCTTGTGGCGGGCGTCTCTTCAGTCACCTGCATTAGCGGCGGAACACCTTCAATTAAGAGGGGGGGGGGGCACTGCCGACTTTTGGTCCCATTCTTTCCATGCAACGCCCATAGGGCTAAGGTTAAAATGTCAAAATCAAAGGGGGGCACGGTGCCCCGGTGCCCCCCCCCCCGTTCCGCCGCCTATGGTCACCTGCTGGACAAGAGCCCACAGGTTTTCGATTGAATTGGGATCGCGACTTTTTCCAAGTCATAAGCGTTAGCCCAGAATGATTGAAGGTTCTATCGGCATCACTTCCCGTTCTTTTAGGGACTTTTAAGTAGCGCGCCGCCCCGCATGAAGACAGCGTGGCTTGAATCAGGCATCAGTGCGCGTATAGAAACCGAGCCCTCCTATGCCGTCTGGTTGAGCGCCTCCGACTATTCATTGGCCAGTATGTTTCTCCGGTAATACTTGACGTTGATGGCGGTATTATCTGACATTATGTCCTATTGGAGGATCGCTAGGCAGCTGAACATGCTCCAGTTCTGGACATTGCCCGGATGTTTGACGGCGGCGAAGGCCAGCAAGTTCGAGCGGCTGGCCGCCCATACATGCCCGATTTGAGGGTTCAAAGGATAATACAGCTCGAACGGCTACCCATCCAACCAGACCACCTCACCCTTATCATTCTTCGACCAGTGGACGCGATCTGGCGTGAGGCGAAAAGGTGGTGAACTGGTTGTTTTCCCGTCAGTTTCGTTGTCTTTTTCAGTTTGAAGGGCACTACAACCAAGTTAAAGGGCGGGTAGCGGTAAACCATGATATGGGATCTCTTATTATCTGACTTGGCAAGAATTCGAGTCAATTTGCGGATTGATTGGTGCCGTTTCCTTGCCGCTATCTTGATGACTCTCAGTCTCCTCAGTCCTCACCACTTGACAAAGGGCGGCTTTTGTGGTCGCGACCGGGCTGAGTCTGCCACCGAAGTCCCAGCTTATTACACCTCAGGCAGACTTGAAATTGGCTGCTGCTGATCGAGCATTGCAGGTTTGACAGCTTTTTGCCCCACCAGCACCACCTTCTCTGGAAAAGCTCCACCCTTGCCTATGGGGCAAAACATAAGGGACAAAAACACAAAACAAGATAGATAAAAAACAAAACAAAATGAGCTCATTACCTAATGAAGTTCAGTCTGGAGCAAAAACATAGGTAATAGGTATCTATGTCAAATTAGAATGAAAGATTAAAATCAACCTGACCAGGTCTCACGGTCTGACCTGATCCTAACCGCCTTACTTCACCTAACTTAACCCAATTCAACCTAACCTACCACAACACCTGCAAAGGTACCTTCCTGGAAAATGACGCCCAGGGAGGCGTCAATGACGCCCAGGGAGGTGTCCAACTTATTGGAATATTACCATGATTGCTTGTCAAAATGTGTGTCATCATGCTCTTGTTTGACAAGTGATGTATAATAAATGTGACATTCAAAAATGGTCTACTGTTAAGTGATCAGAATATTCAAATAATCAGGGTACAATGCTGTGCATCATAGTGCACACTAATCAATAATCATGTTGTTTTTGTGTAAGCCCTCTGCCTGCGCATTATTGTGTACACTGTCATGTGCACTTAAGGAAAAAAGTGACTGGTGGTACATGAAAAGGGTTGTGCAACTGTGAAGTTCATGCCCTTGGTCTTGCTGGAGTCAAATGCCTATAGCTATAGCAGGATCAGTGAGGGTTGTAGACATGCTACATACACTGTGAAATGTGAATTGAAGATATTGGCACAAAGTTCATCCATAATTACTATGCTTAACACCTAATGTAAGAAGCAACATAAATGCCCAGATGATACAGCTCTCTGGTCAACATTACACAAATTTATTGACATACTTTGCAGGTACATATTTACATTCATAACAAATACTTTCAATTTGATTCAATAACTAGGTGCTAGTAAGCTTGCATTTTTGTAGGTACAACAATGAACATATATTTAATCATAAAAAATTTCTTGTGGCATTCATCACATACCTTTTTACCCGTTACCGAACAAGTACCTATCTACCATGCAATGATTCTAAAATTTGTCCGCAATCCACCTATATCTCAATAACTGACACATTGAAATTGAAATACCCTAACAAAACCTATAACTGTACAAAAGAAGAATGCGATGATACAAGAACTATGAAGTTCTAAAGTTATTCTCACATGCTGGAATGTTGAATACATTTATCGTCCATTGCCACATTTGATTGAGCCATCATATAGAACTGTTTTTGCTCTTCAGTCATAAGCTTTTGCACAAATCTTGAATTTTTACACATCATCTTGAACCATGCTCCAGTCTTTCCAACAAGGTACTATGGAACATCAAAGCAATTTTGATTTGTTACAACAGCTTCAGATCATGATAGGCTTAAAGTTTGTTACACCATTTGCTAGACAAACCTCTACAAAATGTGTATCAATTCCCAAACTAAGCAATTGATTATATCAGTATTTGCAGTTTCCACACAATGTTTCATAATATTATTCAATTTTTATATCAAGAAACCCAAATAATCCACAAATTGTCATTGAAACACTCCCACTTCAAGAATTCACAGCAATAAGCAAATAAACGCAAATAAACATTGCGCCAGATTTCGTATGAAACGCGCCAGCATCCTGAAGTTTCTACCACAGACGGTAGTTCAACCGCAGCCGTAGTGCGAAAACCCCTGCCCACCTTACCCCACGGCGGAGCTCGGTTGCAATTTGTAAATACGCGGCGCGTCATGCGCCCTCTCAAGGACAGCGCCCCCGATGGATGAGGCAGTCTACCACTCAGCGCCGTCCAGGGTGGTGAGTAGAACAGTTCATCGCGAGTTGCAGGAAGCATTTGGAACACAGGCCGGCCGCGAGAGCCAAACAGAAGATGAGACTGTCTCCCCTCCTAGTGATAGTTGCCGCAACGCTCGGTGAGTCTTTAAGTAGTTTGTAGGGTCTGACACCTCATACAATTACGCTTGGTCTGACGCTTAAAAAAAAAACTCGGCTTCCAAACAGCTGATATCATAGACTGGGTAAGATAGACACTGAGACCATAGATACTTACTAAAGATGTCAATCGGATACCAACTTTTTGGTAAACCATAACGGATACAAGAGCGATACCTACCAACTTGGTATTTGGTATTTCAATCCTAATGTTTTTTGTATGTTATTAGTATCATGAATCCTCACTACCGCACGTGTATAAGAGGCTGTGAATTTAGCACAAAGTTATAATTTTCCGGGATTCCAATTCAGTTTGGTTTCGGTATTTTCGGTTTTGGTTGGTATTTGGATTATCGGTATCCTGATTTTCTGTAATTGACCTCACTAACCTTCAAGACCGTGCAGCGGGCAGTTCCCAAGCAGTGACTTTGACTCAATGTCACACTGTCACAGGTGTAGAGTCAATGACCATGACTTCGCGACGCAGCATTGATCGCAGCCCCGTGGCAAGCAGTGGCCGTGACTGACCCCACGACGCAGCAATGGCCGTGACCCCGGGTCTACAACGGTGATCTGACCCGTGACATAGCAGTGAACGTGCCCCTTGTCAATCAGTAACTGCATCACCTATGATATGGCAGTGACCTTGACCTATGACACAGGTGTGGCATTAATTCCGTGAACCCATCAGTGGCCTTGACCTGACATCAGTGAGCGCGACAAAGTGGCACATCAGTGACCGTGATCGGGAAATACAGCATAAGTCACGTCGTGAGAAAATGTAACCGTGCCTCCTAATTCCTAGTGACCTTTTTGGTCACTGAGGAGTTATTGTTCAGCCTAAGACCGGCCAGTGACCTCGTGACCCTGTACCGCAGGCGGGGCGTGGGCTGGCGCATGTGACGAGCAGCAGCACGGTCGACTTCCACCTCTGCTGGTCACCACTGCCGAGACGCCCACTGTTTACGCCTGGCCTGAGCAGAAGGCCGAGCTCCACTGCCGGCCGTCCCAGGCCGGCGGCTGTCGGTGGCTGAAGGGCTCCAGAGAGCTGGGCACAGAGTGTCGTCTGAGCACTACCGAGCGGGGCACGATACGCTGTGTCCGCGGAGAGGAGACGTGCGGCACCGTCACGCTGAAGAACCCGAACAATCAGGCGGTCGAACACACCCACAAATCCTACCATCAACGCAATAGTTACCACTACAGACGCAGCCATCAATATTGGGACTACAAAGGCGAGACTAGATGGAGCCGCAAGTCCTCGACTTTTCTATGTTCCCGGTCGGGCACCATCATTCCCAAAAGCAAGGTGTGTGATGGTATCAGAAAATGCAGCAAAGGTGAAGACGAATGGCACTGCTCGCCGTCCTGCGGGCCGCCATTTTTGAGGGAGCACAACGAGCTCTCCTATACCATGGAGGAGTACCCGGACGGCTGGTCCAGCACCTACGTCTGCGAGAGCGGCTTCAGTCTGGCCGAGTCTCTGAGCGGGCTACGGAGGACGTGCCGCGCCGGCCGGTGGGAAGGGGACGCGCCCGTCTGCCGACGCAATGTCGCCCTGGGACAGCCCATCACCGTTACTGGTCTGCCGATGGCAGACTGCAAAGTTGCTGTGGATGGCTCGCTAGACACCTGGTGCATGCTGGCACCCAGCAACGGCCCCAAGGTCCTGGCTGTCCGCCTGGAGGCCAACGCGACTGTAGACAGGGTGCTAGTGCGCGCGCTGGGTACACGCTACACCGTAGCGTTGCGGCCAGTGAACCAGACCAATAACGAAGTCGGCTGTCCGTGTCAGGAGCTGAGTAGCGACAAAATAACGCCATCAGTATCTGGAGTGAGAGTCTGCGTCTGCCCCGAGCAAGCGTCGACCGTCGGGCAGCTCGAGGTGCGGGTGTCGGCCGAGACAGGCGCCTTTCTGACCCTCTCAGTGGCAGAAGTCGTGGCGCTAGAGAGGTCCGATGATGATAACGGGGACGCGTGTGCACTCCTTGGTCAACCAGCGCACAGAAGGTACGAGCCGGCACAGACGGGCACTGTCAAACTCTCGTGCGACCCAGGCTACACCCCGTCCTGTTCCGACCCTGTCCGGTGCTCCGACCTACAGAGTGGCACCACCCGCCTGAGCTGCGTGGCCGCAAAATGCTCGTCCCCGCCCGCCATCCCCAACACCAAGACCGGCCCGAAGAACGGCACCGGCTGGCGCTCTGTGGTCGAGTACAGCTGCGCCGCCGGCTACGCCCTGTACCCGTCGGAACAGAACACTACATCGACTTGCGACTCGGACAGCCTCTGGTCGCTCGGACACATCTCCTGTGTCTCCGAGACCGATATCCGCGTGATTGCCATGCGGCTGGGCGAGCAGCACGAGCGCAGTATGGCCACGCTGCGTGCGGAGCTGGAGACCCCGCTGATGAACCTGTTAGCTGACCAGAATAGCACCCAGCAGCGGCTGAGCAAGCTGGAGCTCAGCATGGCCGCACGGCGTGCAGAGCTGGAGACCCTGCTGACGGGCCAGCGCCAGCTGCTGGCTGACCAGAACAGCACCCAGCAGCGGCTGAACAAGCTGGAGCGCGAGGTGGCGCGGCTGGGACTGGCCGCCGGAGCGTACCTGCCCGCTCAGGAGAGAGATCCGACGGAGGACGCCACCGAGCCCGCACCCGAGGAGGAGGGTGTGACACAGACTTCAGAGACAGCCACAGACCGCACTGTGACACAGGTTCCGGAGGCAGCCTCAGACCGCACTGTGACACAGACTTCAGAGACAGCCACAGACCGCACTGTGACACAGATTCCGGAGGCAGCCACAGACCGCACTGTGGCCACCAGGCCCGAGCAACAGCCGGCCGGAGCCGCGGACTCCGAGGAGCTGGAAGAGAGGACAGCTGAGACCACCCCGCCGTCAGACGTGGAGCTGATTCCTTGGATTTACTGATCCATCCACAGCACTCGCATCCTTCTCTGAACCGTGAATTGTGCCGCGCTGGACGGTCACCATATCCGACCTGAGAGGTAACCGGCGCGCTTGCCAGTGGTCTGTGGTTTATGTGCGGGAACTTAAATACCGCCGTCACTAGCCGCCTGCCACGCACAGGACGGAGGTAACCCTATACTGCTGACTTTCATTAACCTTCATCGGGAGTACTGGGATACAATTGTGAGCTTGTATCGTGCCCAGAGGCGTCTTCCAGGGATAGTTTCCGGGAGGCATGCTTTCGCGAAATACCGGATCGCCGACATTCGCCGCTTCGCCAATTACTTTGTTTGCATCGGCAGTGTTGTGGCTGGATTGGCTGTGCCGCACAAATATAATCTATTGTCGTATATTAGGTGTACTCTGTGAGGTGGGTGACGTCACTTTGCAATGAAACTGACAGGGACGGATGTAATTACAGGAGAACTGGGGAGGGGGTTATTTGATAAAATGCAAATTGTGATACAAGTGAGTACACCTCCACCAGTTGTTACATTTTTATCTAACACCGACACAAAACCGATACCTTTGGACACATTTATGGTGCTGATATATAATGTAAACGTAAGCATAGGTGGATTCAGGCAAGGGAAATAACTAGGAGCGTCACATGAGAAAGTGAGAAACATAAGAAACAACTCAAAGCGCCACTAGGTACGGTAACCTCTGACAAGATGTAAAGCAGGTGCCTACCAGTACCAGGCGACTGCTGCCAGTGCTGAGGCCTAGGTAACCGGTGGGCAAGGAGCCCCGATCGCTCAGCTTGAACCCAACTAAACTAGCTGCCGGTGTAACAGAAACTGCAATCGAAAACTGGCTTCAGGATGAGCAAGACTCGATATAAGCTCATGATCAACCAGATGACGAAGAGCGCTTCACCATCGGTGTCTTCATTCTCTTCGGAACACATGTGTGAAAAGTCACAGTCAGTGTCTCGCACCCATGTAGCACCGGCCGCGCCGCAGCGGGGCAGACCTCACGCGCGTCCCTGTTGACACGTTCGGAGCACTGCAGACGCGTGCGGCCCCGTTTGGCCATATTGGACGGCACGCAATATGCTGGGCACGCAGGGGCCACCGGAAAAGATCGTGTCAGGAAGTTGAAGCCGAGTGACGTGGCAGCAGAATAGGTTGTCGACTGTGAGGCGACTTGGCGTGACTTCCGACAGAACTGGCGGCCATGTGATTGGATAAAACACTGATATTTGACCATAGAACATCACCCATAACTGCAAGCATTACAGCTTATGCGTTACTGTTACGCATCCCTTTGGTGATATTCCTACCAACATTAGAAACATTGATATTGATGGCGCCGCCACAAGCCACTAACAACGCAAATTGAAACCTAAAATGCTCACGCTTTCCAAAATATGAAATGTGAGTCGCCCACCGATGTCATCTCTCCAACTCACCGCCTCACCGACCCGTTCTCCCCCTAACTCACCGACTTGTCGAACATGGGATGGTTGTCGTTGACGTCTCGCACGTTGACGACGAAGGCGCAGGTGCCCTCCAGCGACGGCGAGCCCCTGTCGTTGGCCTTGACGATCACTCTCAGCTCCTTTTCGTGGTCCGGCTCGTCACGATTGAACACCTGTGACAGGTCAAAGGTCAAGGGTTAAACACCTGTCACAGGTCAAAAGTGAAAGGTTGTACACACGTGACAGTTCAAAGGTCAAAGGTTTAACATCTGTGGTAGGGCAAATGTTTAAAGTTAAACATCTGTAACAAAGCTGAGGTTTGAGGCTAGACAACTGTGACAGGTTAAGGCTAGATATCGCTGATTGAATACCTATTGATTAACAGGTTGATGATTGACAGATTGATCGACAGAGTGATTGATGACAGGTCAGAGGTCAAAGGTTGGGCAGCTGAAAGAGGTAAGAGGCTGAATGTCAAAGGTAAATGAAAAGGTCTAGAAAAGGTGGAAAAGATCACTAACCCGTCAACCGACCCGTCGGACGCATAAACTATGTATGTACCAGGTTCTTTGTCCAGCAAAATAATCAAATACCTATCGCACATGAGAAAAAAAACTTCTTTCTCTTCTGGTTGTTGTGACCGAGACATGCACGAGTCATTAACAGTGAAAGCAGAAAAAATGATGCTGCAAGATAAAGCATAACAGCGATAACTCAATTCCAAGGAGCTGAGCCAACACTGTTGACAGCAGCAGTAAATATCTGATACGGCGGACCGACGTGAAAGCTCCCGTGAACAGCGCTGCCACACGCGCGGACGCGATCGGCAGTAACTTTGTAAGCCGGTGTCGGGAATGATTGGCTGCAGGAGCTCACAGCCAGGCGTCGGTCCGCCACGCATGTGATCAATCACGGCATTTACCGTGTCGAAAGGAGACGGCTGCTGGAAACCTGCGCAGGGGACGATCAGTGAAAGCCGAGCAACACACGGGTTGTACGCCAATGCATGTAGTGTAATATTACTCTTCAATAAAACATGGATGTGGTGCTACTTAGAACAATTAACTTGGAGCATGTCATTCCCTCGCCGCTATTATACGAATTGGCCTTTGTAAACACACTATCTTGCATTGTCTAAAAGAAGTTACGCGAAAATGATCGCGTATTTATGACCAACTGAACTGTCCCATGAGCTTCGACTGATGATCGATGTTACTTGGTGTGGTGACCTTTATAATGATAACAGACAGTCAGCGGCTTCAATATCCATTAGCGGCTGCTGACGCCCGGACAACCAGCTCAGGAGCCAGGACATGACACGTGCTTATTCAGGCTGCACTTAGCGGAGGCCCGCGATCCGACGCGAGACACGAGCCATCAGTGATAAAGGCGCATCGGTTTATTGATCAGTGAAGATGACCGGCCCAAAGCGGTACATTTTACCACCTGTTCGATGGATTATTGGAGTACATAAAGCATGCAAGGCGTCCTCAAACATCCATTAGAGTACAATGCCGACATAGATCTTGACCCAGTGTTGAAAAGCTGCAGTTAATCGTGCCAATGGTAATTAATTCATGAACCAGGCCGGCGGCAATTTATAACGCAATTTGAGGTCGCATTATCATGATGGCTCGACAAACATTGAAGTTCCGCGTAGCAGTACGGTTAATTGTTAAGTGTTCACCAAATATGCAGCTAATGAAGGAATAAAATATTTGAAGGTTGCAAGGCATGCTATGATATGCTTCCCAGGTTGCCCGACGCATGACATAGGTATTAGGTATCCACATCCACGAAAAAGTCATGTGCACCCAGAAACACCACTTTAATAAACGTACAGTTAATTATACATAAGGAGTGACATAAAAACTACGAAGAAGCGCGAATCATGAATGCTACTGCTAGCAAGACTTCTGCTCCTTTTTTCTTCCACTACCTACCTCCTACCATCGACTCCTATCCAAGCAATGTACCCTCCCTGTAGATAGCGTTAGTGAGCCTGAAACGCCGTACTCGTAGCAATTTCCTGTCTCGACAGGTCTGTTTCCGCCTTGGCCTTGCGCCGGAGGGGGGGGGGGCTGACGGAGGGGGGGGGAGCGCGGTGGTATGGGGGTCAGAGACGCGTCACGCAGAACGTCACCTAGCCGTCAGGTCCGACAGTTCACTCGCCGTGTGATTACAGAGCGCGTCCGGTCGGACGGGCACGCAGACACCTCGGTAAATCAGGGCACCCGCAGTGAGACCCGGCCGGAGCGCTGCATTCAGCCCGTGTGGCATGCAGGTCAGACAGCGCCTAAATCATTACAATGAGCGCGCGAAATGGAGAATGGTCGACCTACCGACCTGGCTCGAATAAATATGCGAGGGTTATCGGTGTCTGCATCCTGAGCTGATCTAATCAAAGAAAGAAATGATAATATTCAGTAGACTGCATAGAGTCTTTGACTCATTGAAGCAAGTATGAGGAGGCATAGTTTGCAATATGGCATTCCATACCAGCTTCCAAGAATGCATTGAGAGCGTAGTTCTGCGTTAAATTGAGACCATGATGCAAGGATATCGAGCATTCACATTTTACACAGCCATTCAGCAAGCGACTTTCAACAATGCTACTTCTTCTAGGAACACTGCTTTGTATAGAAACTGACTACTGAAAAACGGGTAGATCTGTACTTCGCTACAATACTACAAAACGACTGCCAAGAAATGACAGTACACTGACACCTCAGGTAAAAGGCGTGCACTAAGAAAAAACAACTTGGAGCAGTGTGAGCCACTATCTTTGTTCTATCTAAGAATCAGAAAGGCACTATAGGGTTAGGTTATTCTTAACAAACAGAAGACACGGCCCTATCACTACTCAGGTCTCAGAGCCTAATGCACGCTGCACCAGCCCTACCAGCATTGCGGTACAGTATACCACTCAGGCGTTTGTCGCTAGCGACATCTAGACGCAGAGATACGAACTCGTGTCGTGCGGTGCAGTGTAACTTCAGGCGTTGACCACTAGCGACATCTAGCCGCCGGGGCTGGTACCGAAGCATGCGGTGCAATAACAAACGCTCAGGCACAGGTTTCTACCACTGTTACATAACTTGAATGCATAAATAAACATGCTACCGCAACGTTGTGCAGGGTTCCTCGTTAGGCTTCTGTTTTAATTATATAAAGCAATTCAATTCAGTCAATTCACAATTCACAAATTACAATTCAGTCATTCAAGACCTTGAATGTAACATGAATAGGTATCTAACAATGTTTTGAAAATATACAAAAAAAAATGATAGATAAAATATGGTTATTTATGAGCTAATGCAAATAATATGCTGGCATAAGTAGGAGCTATAATTCTTACTCTATACTTATCTAAATCTTTATGATGTATATGTTACGGGCCAAGTGCGAAGGCTAGTCCGTTTGCGAACAGACTAGTCCATTCGCGAATGGACTAGGCCGTTTGCGAATGGCGGTCCGTTTGCAAACGGACTAGTCCGTTTGCGAATGGCCGGCCATTCGCGAATGGCCTAGGCCGTTTGCGAACGGACGGGTTTGTGGCGTTGCACTTAGCCGCCGGAAGCATGGATCCTCGGATTGGGGTACGATTCCGAATGAATGGGGGACCGCTGGTCGATGCAGGGGCGTCGCCGACGGGGGGGGGGGGTCGGAGGGGTCCGGACCCCCCCCCCACACACACACACACACATTCTTGAAATATGCCGGTCCGACGCCCCCCCCCCCCCCCCCCCTCCACACACACACACTTTTGGCCACGAAAATCGATCAAGAATAAAATAAAATATTTAAAAAACGATTTTGGTGCATTCTCAAAATAAAATTGTCTAAATCCGAGGAGTTTTCAGTATTTGGTGGGGATTACTTTGACTGACCGTCCGACCAGATCCCCTAGTCGAAAATCCGTGGCGACGCCACTGCGTCTATATGTTTAGTTTGTTCTCCGGAGCAGATCTGCGAGCTGGCGCAACTCTGGGTTAAGGTCTCCACACACCTGGTCCATTCGGGATGCGACTTTCCGCTGAACCCGCTGAATAGTTCAGATCAGTTTGGTTTCAGACCGGGACACTCAACTTACATGCCCATCCTTCTGCTGCAGAACATGGTGCTTGAGGGCTTTGAGCAAAACATGATTTCTTGTGGCATATTTTTAGATTTAAAAAGGCTTTTGACACAGTAGACCACTCAATTTTATGCAACAAACTCAAAGCAAAAAAGGCTTTTGACACAGTAGACCACTCAATTTTATGCAACAAACTCAAAGCATATGGCATCACAGACAAACTCTTTTCAATTATTAGCTCCTTCTTAACAAACAGATATCAAAGTGTCAAATTCAACAATACCATGTCTGGCCTGCAAAGAATAGCAGTGGGCGTGCCCCAAGGCTCTATCCTTGGCCCACTCCTTTTTATTCTTTTTGTTAATGATTTCCCTAATATTTCTACCAAATTCAAACCTTTGCTTTATGCAGATGACACAACATTGGTATTTCAAGGAAAAAGCTATGCTGAATTGCAGTCTACATTAAATGAGGAAGTTCCCAAAATTTGCAAATGGCTCCATACAAATAAATTAGCTCTGAACACGGACAAAACTTCTTTCCAGATATACAGCAATCAGAAAGATAAAGCCACCATTAATATCCAAATGAATGGAATTACAATTAAAGAAACACAAACAGTGAAATACCTTGGTGTATTAATCGATAATGACCTCAAATGGAAAAGTCACATTAATTGCACTTCAAACATCATAAGCCGGAATATTGGTATAATTGGTCGCTCCAGGCATTTTCTAAACAGAAAGCATAGACTTCTTTTATATAACGCTTTGGTTCTACCATACCTTAACTACTGCTGTCTCCTTTGGGGTTACTCATCAAAAACGCATATGCTTAAACTAGTCACTCTTCAAAAAAAGATTACCAGAATTATTGATGACCAGCCCAGGCTAGCTCACAGTAGTCCAAATTTTGCCAAACTAAAGCTACTCAAACTAGAAGACATTGCCAAACAGCAAACCATATCACTCATGTATAATATAATCCATCTGAGATCACCATTACCCATCATTTCCCTCTTTCAGCCAACCCGACCCGGTAATAGAGAAAGCAGAAACACAAAACATTTTATGGAGCCATTTACAAGCAAATTATACCGCACCCAGACGTTAGCCTGGATTGGTCCGCGAATTTGGAACTCAATGATTGCAACGCATTTCCCATCCATTAAAGCTGAACCTGTATCAAAAAGAACAATAAAAGAAACATCGAAGCAGCTTATGATAGCTGAATACTAACTCCATAACAATTATAGGTCTATTGGGCTGTGGACAGGATGCTGTGAACGACTGTACGGAGGAATGAATGCACGCATACAGGGTAACCACGTAAGCTAAGTAACGTAGAAGCGGGCTCCGCCGGCCTGTGGCGGAGCCCTGCGTTGCCGAGCATTGGGCCCCCGCCCCTATGACCCATCCGGGCCAACCTGGGTACCGGTCCCACTTGAAAGGGACCGGTCGGCCGTCCGGGCGGGCGGGGCGCCGGCCTGTCGGGTCGGGTCGGCGCTCCCCTCGCCCGGGCGGTGGTTAGGGGGCACCCCCGGGAAAGATGATTTTCCGGGGGTGCGGGCGGGGGCTCGCGGCCCGCCTGGCCGTCAAACATTAAAACTTATTGTAGGTTAGTAGTTCTCTTGCCCGTCTTTCCTTCCCAGCTGTATTCCTTCTCCGTCTTTTTTCCTCTCTCGTTGATGTTACCTCTCATTTTCGTTATATTGCATTAATTTCTACTCCAACCACCTCGGAACTGGCCTCTGTGGGCTGTCTGACAACAAGCTCTGCTTAGTTGGACAGCTTTACAGAGGCTCAGTGAATGACCTCGCTTGAATTTGACCAGAAATGTTCCCTACGACCATCCACCATGTATGTATGACTGCTCCCTCTAATCCCTTCCTCCCACTAACAATACCCTGTGTAAGTGTGCATCAGTGGGTGTTCTTGGCGTATTTTAAAATAAAAAAAAAATAAAAAAAAACCTGCACAACGCGGAAATTATAGCAACGTGTTGCCGCTGGCCAGGCTTCGGCCACCGATCTGGATCTGGGGAGGTCAAATATCCCCGTGACCTTCGAACAGCGGAGAGTCGCGTGGTGTGCGGAGACCATTAGTACCGTGCTCTGGGCTCCCCGCTGATGACCCGACCTGACCTTGGTCGAGTTTGTGGCGCTCGATTCATTCTGCTCTGGTGTGGTGTACCGGGACGGTGCGGCTTGTGTGTGGTGAGTGCGGTGCGGTGAGTGTTCGAAAAACTGTTGTGTTGCATTGCATTTAACAATACGCGCACTGCAGGGGGGTTGCTTTCAACCCCCCTTTGGTTTTTCACAGATCACGAGAAAACGGCGGCGCGCAGCAAGGCCAAATTTTGTATACCTTTTCTCCCATATTCTGCGCACATTGTGTGAAAATGCTGACTCCAGATGACCTAAGGTCAGGTCACCAGGCCAGGTTAAGTGACGTCACCTCCGAAAAAGTTTGCACTTGCACCAAAGCTACAGCTGTTGAGCAATCGATATGAAACTTTTAAGATGTAGTAAGGGTGACACTGACCCGGTTTCCATGGGCACTTTGAGACATAGCGGATTACGGGAGGATTAGGGTTGTAATTCCGACCCGTACTCACGGAACCCATGTTTTTAAGTGGATTAGGGTTCGAATGCCTCCGTTTTATCGGCTGAGAATAAAAAAGTACCGGAAATTACGGAAAGCAAGCTGTAATCGCACTAATCCTTTATTTCACTGATCCGATCAGTGAAATAAAGGATTAGTGAGGGTTGAAATAAAGGTTAAAGGTTAAAGGAAATAAAGAAATAAAGGTTGAGTTACCAATACTTTGCACGCATCATTTCACACGGGACTTTGCACATGCCAAGTTGACTTGCCAAGTTGACGTCACTTTGCTGGATATTTCGCACTTGGCCTGACTTCGCACTTGGACTGGGAGCATAAACGCCCGTCCATTCGCAAACGGCCTAGGCCAACTGCAATAACGCACATGGACTAGTCTATTCGCAAACGGTCTAGTCCAAGTGCGTTATCGCACTTGGACTAGGCCATTCGCGAATGGACTAGCCTTCGCACTTGGCCCGCAACATATATAGTCTAGCACTGCATTGGGTGAATACTGAAATCATGAACAGAAGTCAGAAATTGTGCATATATCAGGCACACATAAAAATCCAGTTACGAAAACATCCCACATGAAGCCTGTCGGCATCCACCCACCTTCAGAGTGGTGAGCTGTCCAGTGGTGCGATCAATGTCGAAGAAGGACTCTGGCGAGCTGGGACTGGTGACCAGCGAGTACTCGACCTCAGCGTTCTCGCCTTTGTCCGCGTCAATCGCCTCCACCTGAACACACAGAGGGCAGAGGGATTGGTGACGGGGGCGAACGATCAGATGACACAGAGGCACAGGACACATGGATGGACTATTGTTACTGATGTTAGCAAATAGCCATTCCTTCTGCCAAACTCATTATAGCTTAGCTGATGCAGAGAACAGCAGAATTTTCGCGCTGGGCAAGAGCATGCATGCAACAGATAAAAGCATCCTTGTGTCTATTCATTCCTTCGTACGCTTTTTCATAATTAACAGAGAAAATCCACTGGTATGAAGTGCAACCCACCCCTGACAGGCAAAAGCCGTCAGAAGCAATCCCGGAACTATTTCAATTCCGGAGGGGAAGTGAGAGACCCCTCCCTCCTCCCCGGGGTGTCAGGAAGCTGAGCCGGGGATCGGACGCTCGCCTGCTGAGCTCTCCCCTATATCAGGAGAGTGGGGAGGCGGAAAGATACCTCAAGGGAGGGAGGGGAGCGTGTGTCATCATTGCCCAACTAATACACCCACTCCGACTCTGACAGGGGTTGCACATGGCTAGGAGCTGCCACCGACAACATAAATATGTTGTTCACGCGTTGATATTATCCATGAAAGCTAGACTAAAAATAGAAAAATGAACACAATCCTCGAATATGGGAAAAGTGTGGCAAGAAACACATACAACATTCATGGTTTTGAAGAATTGTGACCGAGTTGAGGCTTTTCAGCCAACAATAAACCGCAATGGCAATAGCCGCTACAATCGTACTACCTCGATCATAAAACTTCCTCGCTCTCTCATTAAATATTAATTTTCTTACATCAGCCTCAGCAGTCCTAATCTTAGAAGGGTGCATGCTGCACGCGAGTAATAAGAGGCAAAAAAAATCAAATTAGGGAGAACCGCGATAAACAGAGACCACTAGGTCCCCACCAACTCTCCCCAACCAAAACACACATCTACCTGCCTACTACGCAGCACCCCCCCCCCCCCCCCTCTTCCCCCCCACCGCGTCCCGCCAGCCACTCATACATCCAACATACATCAATTCCATCCCACTTTACCAACACCGCACTATAAAAATAGACCCAACTAACAAGAACACGGAGTAACCAAACACTAGACTAAATCACCACTAACCTGAGTGGTTTAACTCTATTTGATGCACCCTCATCCCGACTGGACAGCAAACTACTCGCGGTAACGACATGAAGCAAATTAACGACCCCGCCAGGTGAATTGAACAACACTCAAACAATCGTGCCAATCACCGTGTTGCCCGCGGACATCTGCCCCATAAACGCAGTGAATGCAGCCCAAATTCAGTGAGCGTTATCCACACAGCAGGCGCTGGCTGTCCATTGGCCGACGCGGCACTGACAGTGGCTGCCACCACGGCTGTCAGGTGCGGCAATTAATGACAGAACAATCCGACAATGTCCATGGACCATGAGTCCAGCAAGGTCATGGTACATGCGGTACGGCGCGGTGCGGTACGGCACGGGACGGGACGGGACGGTACGACATTGTACGGCACGACACCGTACGGGGCGTCCCGGCATGGCAAGGGACAGCACTGATACGGTCATACTGTATTGCTTACTTTACTAAGATCTGTTACCTATAAGATACGGTATGTCACGGTATATCAAGTAAAACTAAACACGATAGCATTCGATACGACACGCTAAGCTATATCGCGGTACCGATTCTCACCGATTCAATGCTACGATGTAGTCAATACGACTTGACAAGACGTAATATGATATTATATAACACGATACAAAATAGAACTGGTAACTCGGGCGTAATAACAGGGAGACTGGTATGTAAGGAGCGTAAGGGGAAGGAGTCACAGTAACTATTTCCAGCCGTCAGTATGACATGGCCTTAATCAGCTGATACAATCATACATCAGAATACAAAGGGCCCGGTGGCAATCCATGCAGTGGACTGGCCTGCAGGAGCCATGGACGGGGCAGCGCATTTATATTCCCCGGGTCTGATTCATAGCTCGACAGAGAGTGATGACACTATCGATTTTCGTAAGGTGTTTAAATACGTTTGCTGATTTGGTCATAACCAATGTGAAAAAAACGAAGCGAGCTTCTGATTGCTGCTCTGCTGCAAATGCATGAACACAGGGCTAGTCAGGCCTAATGGATATTGCTACTCAGATTCAACAACGTTGAAATCAAGGCAATGCTATCAAAACGCGACTCAGCACGTCCAACAAGCACACATCACTTACTCAATAATTTCATTCACGTAAATCCAATCAGTCAAATAGTTGGCTTGGAACATTGATGGTTTCAATCCTTTGCCATTCAGCATTAATGAACAAATATATGGCTCACCACCACCTATTGCAATGTCCATAATACTGATTGGTGCTCGGAGCTGGCCGACTGCCGGTTAATATACGACACCCCTCCGCAGCGTTTGATTAATTCAGCTTAGTCAATGCGCGGCCGTGGATCAGCGAGCGCTCGGCGAAGTCTGTCCGCTGCAGCAGGCGATTACTGAACACACCCCCGGGACGCACACGCACAGGGTCTACCTACTCGTGCAATGAGAGTCCCGCAGTCGGCGGTGTAGGTAAGATGAAAAGGTAAAGAAGTTGGCAGCGATTTCCCGGAACTGGAAAGGTCATGGCACTATCTTAGTCCTTTGAGATGACTTACTGGATTTGGTATGGCGCACGCTTAAATTTAAAGCTGCGTGGGTATCGTAAAAGTTCTTGAAAGTTTTCCCAAGATATAGCTTTGCCTTAATGAAATATTCCATGAACAGAGTCGAAATACGCACAACTATCGCATTAAGTGACGGAAATGTACCGATGATTTTCATACGTTCAGATCATTTGATGACAAGTAAAAGGAATCGGCTAAGCCACAGACTTCTCTATATATAGAGAAGTCTGTGGCTAGGCAGTTGATAATTGCATGCATTTAAAAGTAATATTGATTGATTGACGTCTTTATGAAACAAACACACAAACCATGGCAACAACAGGGATGTTCCACCAGTGAGGTCACGGTATGTCCACCAGTGACGTCATCACTCACCGTGAGCACCGGCGTACCGCTGGGCTTATTCTCCTCCACCTCGGGACGGTAGTTCTCGCAGTCGGGGAACATCGGACGATTGTTGTTGACATCTGCGAACACAGGAAAAAGTAACGCGCTGGAAATCGGTGCGGTTATGTGGGTTTGGTTAAATGGGGCGCTTTTATCAGCAAGCACATACAGGGTGGGCCAAAAAAAAGTGTGTCACTTTTCAGCAGTAATTTCTCGAAAGTGGTAAGAGATACGAAAAAGAAACTTTCACAACTTAAAGAAAATCGTTTGACAAATTATGTGATACCAATTTTATGGAAAAGTTTCAATCGAACTGACGTTGCATCATCGATTTAAAAAACGGGATCTGTGCGTCTCTTTATTTGCGCATGTGCTTGAAGTGGGCACCGCCAAGCTGAACGCGCTCCAGGAAGCTGACGCCCACCTCTCCGCGGTGTCTGCTGGCACTTCACGCACGTACTGCTCGACGCTGACACGCAGCTCCTCCAGGCTACCGGGCTTGTTGTGATAGACGCTGTCGCTGTCCTTGCAGGCTCCCCAAAACCAGAAGTCCAGCGGGTTGAGGTCAGGACTGTGAGGAGCCCACTGCTTTTCGCTTCCCTTGGAGATCACGCGGCAACCGAAGAGCTCTTGTAGCAGCTGCAGTGTCTCTCGGGCCTTGTGCGGTGGCGCTACATCTTGCATGAACAAAGCTTGTAGCGTGATCACCAAGGGAAGCGAAAAACAGTGGGCTCCTCACAGTCCTGACCTCAACCCGCTGGACTTCTGGTTTTGGGGAGCCTGCAAGGACAGCGACAGCGTCTATCACAACAAGCCCGGTAGCCTGGAGGAGCTGCGTGTCAGCGTCGATCAGTACGTGCGTGAAGTGCCAGCAGCCACCGCGGAGAGGTGGGCATCAGCTTCCTGGAGCGCGTTCAGATGGCCTTCAGCTTGGCGGTGCCCACTTCAAGCACATGTGCAAACATAAAAGACGCACATATCCCATTTTTTGAAATGGTGATGGCAACATCAGTTCGACTGAAACTTTTTCATAAAATGGGTATCATATAATTTGTCAAACGATTTTCATTAAGTTGTGAAAGTTTCGTTTTGGAATCTCTTACCACTTTCGAGAAATAGCCGCTGAAAAGTGACACACTTTTTTTGGCCCACCCTGTATGCCTAGTGCTTTAAGTGTCGTCGAAGACTGGTATAGCCAATTTGGCAGATCTTCCCTTGTAAACAATAAATTGACTTTTCCACAAGCGTGAAGCTCCAATGTCGAAATGCGAAAGTAGATAAAAGAAAATAAGTTTAGAAAATTGTTTGCGTAAGTTCAAAACATTCATTAGCTTAGGAAAAGAAAGTGCTATCAGATTTTTCTTTATTCTGAACCAGTTATTCGATCTCCCCTGACAACATTTTCCGGGAATAGTACCTTCTTTTCATGACATCCTTACCATACAACTTGCACACAAATCAATCTGAACCGCCGGCAGGTTAGCCCCTACTGAATGACAATCAATAGCATCCAATCAGAGCCTGTATCAGAGCGTAGTTGTGCGCTATAGCCGTCCTGTTCCCGGGGACCCAATCATTCTGCATCAACCACTGTCGCACGTGTGTCTAACTCGCCGCTGCCAGCCACGGTCCTGGCCTACCCTGCACTCGGCACATATAAGTTAAAGGAAATAGTTCACTTTTTAACATGGGTTTTGAACTGGAATAGCAGTTCCGTAGCTTGGGCTGAGACGAGCATAAATCAGGAGCTTTTACAGCCCAACGATCACCCTAGGCAAAGATATTCTATTTCTCGTCCCGAAAAAGGTGTCTTGCGTTGAGGATGTGTGCCTTGCATATATTTCCATCCAGTATGAAAAGAGCATGGGTCCCGAAAATTCTTCAGAAACTAGAGAAATTATCTACGAGAACTCTAGAGAAATTCTCGTACTGATCAATTAGGACATTCAGGGGAACATTATCAGATCGAGCAGATCGCCCAAATGCCGGTGGCTGCGATAATTTCTCTGTCTCTGAAGAATTTTCGGGACCCATGCTCTTTTCATACTGGATCGCGTGTGCCTTACAGAAACTGAAAAGTTCTTCCTATATCAAAATATAGAAAAAAAATCTTTTGTTATAAAAAGGTTTTATTTTCTTTGCTGATTATTTTGAACATAAAAAAAAATAAACCGTTGCAAAAAAAATAATTTCGTGAAAGTGAACTATTTCCTTTAATCAACACGGCACAGTTCTTCCCCGTCCACGTGCAACATCAGCTTTTATATCTTCTGTCGTAAAGACAAGATGCGCTATTAGCTGCGCTCTATAGTAACTCTACCGGGAGCTGGCCCGCCTCTTTCTTATTCCGCTGCTCTCTCAAAGAGCCGACTGACATTAGCTCAGTCATATCTGCGTCCCAAGCTCGGTCGGATCATACGCGTCCAAAGCTGAGTCGGGAAGCAGGGGCCACTGACGCTGGGCAAAAGTCCCGCGGGCACAAACCCTCATCAGAGCGACAGCTGCCCCCGCGGAGGACCAGTGGAAACGACACAAAGGATAGCAACAGCTGAGCCATAAGTGCGCGGTCTCTCTAGCTAGCGCCAGTGGATGGAAGAAAATGACTTAAACCCAAAGCCGAGATGGGAGAATTCTTTCGCAAATTTCACCTGAGACCCACGATGAGGATTTAGTTAGCAGCGCGACTACGATTCACCATTCTCTACCTCGTTTTCCCTAGCAAACACAAAATACTAATATTGAATATCTACCATAGAACTAATCGAAGGACGTCTATCTTTCGACGAGTCCTATTGATCTAGCCTGATAGGATATTGAACATCTTCAAACACCGGCTGCTCTTTTCGCACTACCACTGTTTCCCCTGTCCACAATGAAGCCATCATCTATGATGCCGCCGCTGCCGCCGAGCGAGCGACATGCCAACGTCAGCTGTCTTATTTGGTGGTGAGGAGGGTTAGTGGATTTGTTGGCGATGGCCCGCTGCTACTACAGTGGCTATACCATCACAACAGCGCAGTTGTGGACAATGGGCGGTGGGCGGTAGGCGGTGGACGTTGGAAGGTGGATGGTGGACGGTGGACAGTGAACGGTGGATGACGGGCGGTAGACGGTGGACGGCGGTCGACGAACGGTGGACGTTGGGCCGCTGACGGCGGGCAGAGGTCGGATAGCGGACACAGACCACGGACTATGTGCAATGCAAAGCTGGGGACGGGTATAGTATCCCTAGTGGAACATCCCAGATTATCTCTCCTGTGAAAGGATGCGACTGAGCCGGCTGGACCAGAGCGGATCAGCTGGATCAGGTGGATCAACAGGATCACCGGTATCCAGATGGAACCAGGACCAAAACCAGCCAGCGTGACAGCGGAATGGGTGCGTGAAAATCCGGCGAGGGGGATCACAGGAGGGTCATCAGCGGCGGGATCCCCAGCGGAGGGGAAACCCGGGGAAAGACCGCGCTGGGAGGCAGAAGATAATACCCCCGGATCAACGCTCAAAGGGGTGTAAGTTGAGACACCGCCACCCAAAAGACAGGACGAAATAAGCCCGGTATCGAGCGTTCAGGGAGAGAGGATTCCTCTGTCGGATGCAGACTTCGCTTACAAAATTAATGAGGCTGCCATTTGTAAAATGGAAAATAGAAACTTCTTTAGCAGCTGCTGAAACCAGTGTTGAGTGATAAATATTGCTCGTTTCGCACAATATGACTGCATAAAAAAGGAACAATATCTGCAATGGCGCCGGGCAGGGGACCAATCATAATTTGTTGCTGCGACCTGACCTTTCTATTGGACCGCGTAATCTAATTTCACCGAAGAATTATGTGACTTCAGTCCGGCATGACCCGAAATTGGAACATTACCGAAGATCCCCGAATAATGCACAAAAGGAAAAGGGCGTAATCATATGGAAAGAGCTTAGAAGATAAAACCAAACTAAATGAAACGGTTACACGAATACTACAAATATTGTACAGTGTTAACTGCTTTACCTAGAATGTCCAAATCTGATATTTCAAAGAGGATTTCATCTGTACAGGTACTAAGGGCTCATCACCGAACATACATCACATGTACATACCCTTGCAATCCTTACGCAATGTAAACAGACTACCTAATCATTAGGTTGCCGCTCTCCCGCCACTCACCTATAATGTGCACGTGCACAGCTGCCGTGTCGTTCTGGTTGTGCGTGTCACGTGCGATGACCAGGAACGAGTAGTCCTCCTCGGTGAACTGAAACGGCCTCGTCACCAGGCGGATGACGCCCGTCTGGCGGTTGATGGTGAACTGAAACACATCGAGGGGAGCCCTGGTGAACTGAAGTATCAAACATGGTGAACTGAAACACATCGAGGGGAGCCCTGGTGAACTGAAGTACCAAACATTTTAGCGAATACAGTGCGATACGCCGCAATTTCACATTGTGTGGTGTCTGCTGAGATAAAACACACTCCGGGCATGAGTGAACTGGAATACAAACCAAGAACTTTGGCGAATTGAAACAAACTACGGACGGTATACACAATTGGTCATAGAAGATAGCTGCTCAGCTTAGCTGTTAGTATTTACGTTCCAATCCAAGACGTTTTGATTTCTGAACTGATATGCATATGCAAACACGTCACACCAGCCTTCCTAACGAACGTTCCATCCAATTATTCTGTAACAACGGCACTCAAAATGCGCTGTCCGTCACCCAATTCCAAGGCAGGCATGCCTCCGCGTACCATCTCCCTCTGGGACGGAGGACACACGGCGGGACAGGGGCGGCGGAGTGGGCGTATGTTGGGACAGGGGGAGGGGAGGCGGGCGCCAGACCAGGCCCAGTCCGGTCCCAATTAAGTACGACTCGCCTGGGACTGCCGACGTCCCCGAACAATCGCGATATCACCTCGATACACGTCTGTCTGGCCGTCTGCTCGACACGTCTGCATCTGTCTATTGGCAAGGGCGGACCGGCGCCGGAAAACACCCCAGGGCGTCTACCGTCCAGCGTCCACCACACCCTCGCCCGGCGCTCACTGAAAGAAGTTGGCCTGTCCGACCCTGTTTTCGACAGGCCAGGTGCGGCCGGGTCGCGTGGCTCACGCTCGAAAACATTCCTGAGTTAAACGTGGCGGAAGATAAAAACGACCAAGTAAATAACGGTATTTTCCCATTAGCCTATCGGCGGGAAAATGAATTCCTCCGGTAGGACCAAACGGTAAACTAGCCGCGTCCTTCGTATATCTAACATAAACGGCCCAAGTGGCATTCAGGTATCCACCAAACATCGACGCTAAAGCATAAACAAACGGTACCGGGCGCGCTAAACGGTCGTTTCTGAAGAACCAATAACGACAGGACAGCGCCTTCCGCAAGGTCAAAAACGGAAAGGCGAATACAGCGCTTCGCTGTCGCATTTGTTAAGCTGTACTTCACGCCTTCACCTTTGCAATCGTCCACCTATCGGCTCTGTCAGCACAATGTGACAGCACTGCCAGCACTGTCAAAGTGACAGCAATTTCACTATAGTATACCCGATGGGAGGCGATTTTATTATGTATTTTGACTCGCTCTATGACGTCTATGTCGGTATAGCATATATATAGCAATTACGACACATGAACTATGCGGCATTTGTCAACGGAATAATGAGGATAACAGACCTACTCGTATATGCAATTGCACAGCCCAAAAGAAAAAGCTGTTAAGCCACTAAGAAGACAGTGAGCAGAGGTCTTCAGAAAGACAATTTAGCAATGCATTGCCATCCATCTACTTTTAAGTCATTCTACAGAATACCATTCTGACTTTCAGCGACAATAGATTGACGATGTTATCGAATCAGCCGAAACTCTCAGTCCTTTTATTCCTCCTGATGGCATAGGTAACTTTTTTCAAACAGAGAACTAGAGGTCGTCTGCGTTGGCGAGTCGCTGATAGAATGGATCTGATTATATAGGCCGTAGAGTGCAGCCATTAGCGGAGGCATTAGCGATCGACGCCGGCCGCAGTGGGCTAAAATCTGCCGCGGGCATCGGGCGCCGGGTCAATCAGGTCGGTCGGCTGACGGTGGCTCTCAAACATCTGCATAATGGTACTGCTGCAGACATTTCGACAGGAGGATTTAGACAAAGGTCGCCGGAATCGCAAGAGTAGATGACATTACTAGCATTGTAATACAAAGGATCATCATAGCGGATTGATGTAGAATCCAAAAGTCATTCACCCACTTCCCCACCTCAGCCCACCCTTCCTTATCGCCATGAAGTGAAAATGGCATTATAAACATTGCCTTGACTGCAATAAAACATATACAGGGTGATCCAAAAAAAAATGGAACCCCTAACTTAAAATGTCTATAAGTCCGAAAATATTCACTTTATTGACAAATTGCGAACACCATTAGAAAGAGCATTATATCCTCTAAACATATCACGTAAAATTGGTGCATGTATGTTGTAAAGCATTGGCACACTATTAGCTTTTGGAATGAGCGTCAGAAAACTGAGTGAAACGAAATCGCCAAATGTTAACAATGCGCTGAAATCCGTTAGCACTCTATCTCTTGTCTTTTTGCGAATATCACCACATCCAAATTCAATTTTATTACATAAAAGTTTACACAGAAGCACACAGTAGAACAGATACACGCGTCCTAGCTTCCGCTGTTCATCCCAGCATGTGCTCAACGCGAGCTCCGTGGGCCGTCACGCAGGCCTGCAGTTGCTTGGGGACAGCTCCGAATGCGCGGACCAGCAGTCTCTGGGACAACTGGTCCCAGTAGGCCGTCAGCCTTTCCTTTCTTTACAATAGCACGTGAATGAGCTATTTTTATTCATGAACCTCCAACAAGCGACATGGTCAGAACAGCAAACCGTCAATCACTGATTTGCGCATAATGTTCAAAACTGTTTCACTGAGTTTCGTGACACAAATTTTGTAGGCATATGTCTAGGGCAATATTTATGACAATAATTAAGTTGAATCAACTTGGTTTTATAGAGAATTGAACGCTCTTTCTAATGGTGTTTGCAATTTGTCAATATAGTGAAAATTTTCTGACTTACAGACATTTTAAGTTAGGGGTTCCATTTTTTTTTTTTTTTGATCACCCTGTACATCAATCCACGAGCGTGCGTGGAGATGCTACAGCGTTGTGGCTCTACCACCACTCCTCGCCTGGCGTTCTCCCCTTCTCTCTCCGTCTTCCTCTCTGCTCCACACGAGGTCTGTTACCTTGCCGGCGGCGCGGCAGAGCTATATTATCACGGACGCCCTAATTGCACCTAAACACTGTCATTGTGGACGGTTTGTGGCCCGGCCGCCACCCGGGGCTGGCCCAGCGATGGACAAAGATGGGTCCACTGACACGCAACAGAGAGGGTCATGAGAGGCCGATCCAGACCAGACGGAGATACATCAGCGCGCTTTGGTCCTCACCGACACCAAGTAACTAGTATGGCCATGCAACTATGGGGAGAGTTATGTGCAAGTAATTTACATTAATTCAAAAATAGCTTCCCTTAAATATTAAAATATGTATCTATAGCAACAATCATAACAGTGACCTGTCGTAATTCTCCATATCCGTATCATATCTCCATTGGAATAATACAGATAGCGCGGCACGTCATAGCAAACGACACCTACTTCTCTTCACGGATCCTGAAAGCATGATCGAGTATCATTGATTTCGCGAGTCTGGTGTGCTCCCAGCGCCTCTCTTCTGTGAGCTAAGGACGGCCGTTTGCGCGGGCCTGGACAACAAACAGAACAGCTCTGGTGTCGGTCTGATTCATGACCTTCAAACAGCCTGAGGCGGCGTTCTGGAGGCCGCTACGACCGGTCACTACGAGCGCTTGTCTGGACGGAATGGCCCCCGTAAATTCCGGCGTAAATTGAACTGAAGACTTGAGCCGCGTACCATACGGTGCGAGCACGACGTGAGGAATGGGACTGACGCCAATCAGAGGGTCATTGAGTGGTCAGGGGGCGGTGGTCAGTGTCAGTGGTTTCTGGTCGGTGGTCAGTAGTGAACGGTCAGTGGTCAGTATTCAGTGGTCAGTGGTCAGTGGTCAGTGGACAGGGGCCTATGGTCAACAGTCAGAGTCCAATATCAGTTGTCAGTGGTCATTCACAATGGCTGGAGGGCAGTGACAAGCTGTCCGTCGCCATTTATCTTTGATGGTTAGATCAATGATGAAAAATGTGACTATACGTGCCGAGAGTACGTTGCCTATCGACTGACAAGCATTTGCTTTCAATTGGTCATGAAGCCTGTGAGTTAGCGTTTACAGGGACACTATTTGCCAATTACTGATTGCAAATTTCACCAAAATCTGATAGCGGAAGCCAAAATGTCAACATAAATGTCAACAACGTCCGGTAAAATACAGCATGTTGACATTTTTTCCTAAGCACACCAAGTGTCATTTCCCTACAAATGTCATCGCTGACTAGGAACTTGCATGGCAAAGGTTGGTTCTAATTTATAAGACGCAACCGCTGAAACTGTAAGCAGTGTCCTTTAAAAGTCCCCTTGATTATTAAGGCAGCTCATTTAAGCTTCGTCAGTTGCATCTATTGTGAACTTTCCACAAACAACTTAAGAATACAGGCAAAATCTAGGCATACACTACAGCCCACCTTGCATGTGTAAGTTAACCTTTCATTGAATCCACCCCCCCCCCCCTGAACTCCTGAACCCAGTATCATGGCGGTAAAAAAACCGTTGGCTGTATCACAGCTCTACTGATCTAATGTCGGCCGGTATAAAAAACCTATAGATAACCTAACATAACGCTTCATATCATAACAGATCCCCATATCAACACCTATAGATAACCTAACATAACGCCCGGTATCATAACGCTTCATATCCCCCGTCTGCGGTATCACGCTGTTTAAAATCTCCGTCGCCTGTATCACGGCAGAATAATCCCTCTGAGCCCTGTCGCTCGGTATCACAGCTTTACAGATCCCCTACGGCGTGTGCCGAGTAACAATCTGTAAAAGTTGGCCCTCGCTACAGTCCCCCGAGGCCAACTGCTCACGGAATTCGTTCACAAGTCAGATCCCTAATTACCAGAGTCCCGGGCAGCGCCCAGCCCGTCCGCACAACTTCTCCGGCCACCTAACCCCATCCGGTGCTCTGTCTCTTCCACCCTCTCCCCTCTCCTCTCCCTCTCCCATGCTCTCCAGTCTCCCGTGCTCACTAACTCACCATTTCGAACTCCTCAACGTCCGGCGCGCCCGGCTCCGGTCGGATGAAGTAGCTGATGACGTCAGTATCGCGATCCTGCGCCGCCACTGCGCGCACCAGTGAGCCTGGGGGCAGGGCAGGTCAGGTTAGGTCAGGTTAGGTCACAACAGGAACATAAACCACAGCGCGCACCAGTAAGCCTAAGGAGACAGGTCAGGCCAGGGTTCTACGCCACTGGGCGCACCACGTGCCTGGGGCAGGTTAGGTCAGGTCAGGGCAATACACTAATGCTCAGTGCTCACACCAGCGATGCCATGTCGAGGAAGAAAAGACTAGTGAAAATAAAGGGCACATACCTACCTTACACAATTACTCATGCCAGTGAGCCTCTTAGAGTAGAGCCATGTCATCAAATAAGGTCAAAACGAGTCAGGTAACGGGAGGGGAATGACCTCTAGTGACGTCTTTTCCAGGTAACGCCAAAGCCATGTTATAGTAAGTAACATGATAATCTGTACTCGCTGGTAATCGCAGAGCACTTCAGACTTTCATTGATATTGATCACTCACATCAACTCAGGAAAGGTCGGGCCTTGCTCATTCTGGAAAGATCACTTATCACGCCAAATGCACAGCGATTTATCGGCGAATTCAACTAAGTTCAGACTGAGGCTCGTGGCATTTCCAGAGAGAAGGTCAGGAGAGTGACCTACTAGAGTCGTGGGAAATACATTTGTATTAAAATGGGCTCGGTCATGAAGCCAACAACTGTAATGTGTTCATTTGAGTTCAGAAATTTGTTACAATCATACGAGAATAGATTTGCACAATGCATTTCTACACTAATACACTAAAAAATGTACCTACATGAATAAAATGTTCAAACAAATCGATGCTGTCGTTTTAGCACCTTTGAGGACTTTCACGGCACCGCTAACAGATCGAGTCCAAAGAGTGGACTGCCGTCACTCCCCTTCGAGGCGGGTCCATTCTCCTCGCCAGCGGGCCGCGGCCGTTCTGAATCTGAACCGTTCATCACTGCCGGCCTGGCCGCTGTCGGGACCGCTTTCGCGATTGGACACAGGCACGCTAGCGAGAATGCGACAAAAGTTTTATGATAAGGGTGCCGCCTAGAGGCCAGCGTCCAATAGCGGTTTAACTCTGACAGTTGCTTTTATTGTTAGAACGATGGCCATGCCGTTTGCGGGTCGTATGCTTTGTTCGAAGGGCAGGCCAAATGACGCTTCGCTCATCTTCATGAGAAGTGGGTACGATAAGTCAGGGCGAGACACATTATCTGGACAGTGGCACTCGGAAATGAATCAAACGCGACGCTAAAACTGTAAACAAATGGTTGGACACGATTAATATTACAGAAATATCGCCCTGTCCGGCAGCTAAGGTGGCGGCAACATGACACAGGGGAATTAATGATGGTTCAGTGCGAAGGAATTGTGTTTGCCAGGGATCTTAATGTGTTTGAACCTAATTAGGACCAACAAAGCAGGCAATGGGCACTGAAGCCACCCGTGGTAAACCGACAATGAACAGCATTGGACATTGAGCAGCTTAAAGGTAGTGTGCCAGCTTTCTTGGACCGTATGGAGTTAATGGCCCAGATAAGGAGAACCGGATTTTTAGAACTTATCCATACCTTCAAAACTCATGGAAACGTCTTAAATTCTTCAAATTTTGAGTACCCCAGTGCGAAATTCGCCCCGACGGGTTGTCGGTCGTACCCCAACCACATTTCACATCACTATGAACAATAAATGCACACACTGAAATCGCTATTACCGATATGCTCATCCAATCAAGTTTCGATAAACCCGTTCATCATCATCTCCTGCGGTTTCGAACACGCCTGTTAGGTGGCTTCTGATGCTCGTCGAGGTCGGAATTTCCAAATACGCGTGGTGCGTCGGGCCGCGCGCTCTGACTTCGGCCAATAAAAATGCGTCAGCTGATCATTGTCATTTCTGCCACTTGCGTGTGGTGAAATGGGGTCATAACTTATAAGACGGCTTTTTCATATCAATTATTTTACATAAAATCATATTTCTCATGATTTTAATCATATCTCTCCTCGTATCTCAGTGATACGAGGAGGTGGAGTTGCTATCATCTACCGTGACTCAATAAAAATTTCGCTTTTGAAAATTCATAATACCGATCCGGTAACCGACGCACTCTGGCTGTCTGCCACCAGTCACGGTCCACAGTGATGCAAATGGGGTTCACGAGTGGCCATAAATACCCAAAAGTCAAGTTTACCAAATCGAGTTAATTGCGATATGGCCGAGTAGACAAATGTTTGGGGCACCTGAAATCACATGGTTTTCATGTTTTTGTCAAAACCGGCCTCGTGTATAATCGTCAGAAGTCGTGACATTTTCTAGGTCGTAAAATGACGGTCAGACACTCGCAAGTTCGAACGCCGCTGGTTTGCGTTCATTTCGTATAAATTGAAAAAATGATGCATGGGAATGATCCCCAAAGCCTTCTGCTTCTAATGCCGGGTCACAAAAAGCCGTATCTCATTCGCTTTGGCGGTAATCTGACTATTTATCATCATGTTGCAATCGCAGCTTTTTTCTAAGAAAAAAATGCTTTCGTTTCACCTACAGCACTTAACACAGTGTGTGCCCGTTAGTCCATCATACCATAGCCTTCCCTGATCATTTCTGAGTCGCATCGTGAAAGAATTAAGGCGCTAGCACAGGGCTGACCGGCGCTACAGAGGTTTTTGTCCGGGCGGTCGGGTGCCGCAGTGGGCGCGCAGTGGGCGGGTGGGTGCCGCCGCGCGGCGTTCGGGAGGCGCGGCGACGCGGTCGCCCGGGCCGCCCGCTGCGCCGCGGCACCCGACCGTGCCGGACGAAAACTTCTGTAGCGCCGGTCAGCCCTGTGCTAGCGCCTTAATTCTTTCACTATGCTGTGGACGTGTGGTATTGGAATTTGCATCTCGCTTGTGTGCTCGGGTGGCCGGCCGCGAGCTGGCGGCGCCTCGGCTCGCCGGGCGGCCGGCCTGCCCTGGGGCGGTGCGGGCCGCTCGGCGGGTCGGGCGGCGGGCGGCGCGGGGAGTCGGTTGCGGGGCTCGGTGGAAGGTGGACGGTGAATACAGGCGTGGAACGGCTACATGTTTTGACGGTGAATGAAGACGGCGAACGGCTACATATTTTGGGGGCTCGTCTAAAAGCCTAGCAAGTTCACATGAAGTACGTGCCTGTGATTCCGCGCTGTGATTCCACGCTGTGATTCGGTGTTGAGATTCAGCGTTGTGAGTCTGCGTTGCGAGTCTGGGCTGGAGTCGCTGCGTCGCGAGTCGAGAGTCGGTGTCCAGCAAGCCAGCAAGTTGACGCCTAGCAAGCCAGCAAGTCGGCGCCCAGCAAGTACTCGCGCTCACGTACTGAGCTCTACATTATCCGCGCCACGTTGGGTCTGCGCCGCGCCGCTCCACGTCGAGCCTGCTCCGCGCCGCGCCACGTTTGGCCGCGCCGCGCCACGTTTGGCCGCGCCGCGCCACGTTTGGCCGCGCCGCGCCACGTTTGGCCGCGCCGCGCCTCTCGTCGTCGAGGCTGAGCCTGCGCCGCGCCGCGCCACGTTTGGCCGCGCCGCGCCTCTCCACGTCGAGCCTGCGCCGCGCCGCGCCACGCCACATTTGGCCGCGCCGCGCCACTCCACGTCAAGCCTGCGCCGCGCCGCGCCACGTTGGCCGCGCCGCGCTTCTCCACGTCGAGGCTACACCGCTCCGCGCCACGTTTGGCCGCGCCGCGCCTCTCCACGTCGAGCTTGCGCCGCGCCGTGCCACGTTTGGCCGCGCCGCGCCTCTCCACGTCGAGCCTGCGCCGCGCCGCGCCACGTTAGGGCTGCGCCGCGCCACGCCACATTTGGCCGCGCCGCGCCTCTCCACGTCGAGCCTGCGCCGCGCCGCGCCACTCCACATCAAGCCTGCGCCGCACCGCGCCACGTTTGGCCGTGCCGTGCCGCTCCACGCTGAGCCTGCGCCGCGCCGCGTCCAGTCTGCACCAGAACGCGCCGCTTACGTCGGGCCTGTGCCGCGCTCTGCCGCTCCGCGGGCTCGCCAGTCGCCACCATGTCGGACGCCGAAAATGACAGCAATCGCGCGGAGGAACTTCATGAGCTGAGGGAACAGCTGGCGACTGCTCTTCAGCGCATCACTGAGCAACAGCAGTCCATACGTGACCTGAGCCGGCGCCTGGAGCTGTCGCTAACATCAGCGGCAGCGGCGCCCGGTACGGCCGGGGTGCCTGTTCCCGAGTCTGCGGACAACCGGGGAACCCCGGCTCCGGCTGCATCATCCGGTGCTGCAGCCGACGGACTAACAGGTCAGCCTCTAACACTGTGTATGCCCGTGTGTCCGGATGAGAATGTGCCTCAGTTCACGCCGAATCGCTCCCAGACTCGGTTCGTGCCGCCCAATACCGACTCTGTACCATCGACTCGCTTTGTTGTACAGCAGGTTCATGAGCTGGCCAGTTTTTCTTTGGGTGGCAGGCAGTCCCTCGCTCACTATCTCGATCGATTTGAAGAGCACTGTGAGAATGTGTACGCAGGAAGTCTTGACCAGGCTCTGCCGTTGCTGAAATCCAAGCTTTCAGGACAGATTCTTGATGTCTTTGTGGCCTGCGGGGACGTCTTCAACCCCTACCAGACGGTGAAACGTCGGATGCTCGACTGGATGAAGCGGCAGGAGCTCTCTGGTAACTGCTCGGCACGCGATCGTTTTCGGTCGTGTAGGAGGAACCAGGGTGAGTCACTGGCACTGTTCGCGCTCAGAGTGGCCTCTGTGTATAACGATGCGTATCCCGATCAGGACATACAAACGTCTCAGGAGTTGCGTCAGCACTTGCTTGACAACCTGCCGCATCGTGCTGCTGACTACCTACGCCGACAGATTCACTATACACGCGAGATTCATGGCATAACCCTGACGTGGCAAAACCTGCTGTCCCTGTTGGAGCGTGAGAGGCTGGATGAGGAAGTGGTGTCTAACGCCGATCCATCTCTCTTCTATACAGCCGAGCAAGCGAACAGGAGCCGTTCATCACGGTCACAGCAGAGGAGGATGGTGTCTCCAGCCGCAGCCGCCCGGCGCCGGAGACATA